GATTACAAGTCGTCGTCATAATTTAAATTATAAATCAGAAAACATTTTTTTTTTATCAGCCAATGGTGAAAATTATTACTAATAAAATATTTAAAACTAAACAATGATTGACAGATGATTACTTTTTTTTTGTATAATTATGTGTTTTATTTTCGTATTTGTTTTCAAAACTTTTCCCAATACTTATATAAATGTGTAGGTAATTAATTTTATCAGATTACATAGGTAATCTATTATAATGTAATTAGATTATCTTGCAATTCAATTACTTTGTATTTAATTACATTATGTACTCATTGCAATTAGTTACTTAAATAATCTGTTACAAAGTATTTCAATTACAAATTACAATGTAACTGTAATTTGTAATTATTAATCTAAATACTTTTTGCCCATCACTGGGGCCCAATAGGGTCGATGCCGATTCGGAGTCGCGGAGAACCTAACGGGTAACCGGGGCTCCGGCTCGACGTGCAGGAGAAGGAACGGGGTGGTTTTTAGTCAGTAAGAGTCTGACACTCCCTCCCGCCTCACCCAGGCGGGAGCAGTCATTCGATGATTTTCCCCCCTTAAAAAAAAAAGGTACTAAGAAAAATACATAATACATACACATGGAACGTTACGTAAATGTTTCAAGTATTAAAATGTAGGTAGACTATAGGTGACTGGGTAGGTACCCAGTAGACGATTTGTGCAGATCATTCCACCTGCATTTTCTATAATACAAAATATCACAAGCTAGTTAGTCTACGTAGCTGGCATAGGTCATGTAAATCATCGTCATCTGGTCTTTAGTACCTGTTTTTATCATGAACGTTTATTGGTTATTGTATAAATGAACTGGGACTATTTTTTAAGATGACTAAATAGTCAGTGTCGCAAGCAACTGGTTGAATAGCTATCTGATTGAATGAGCAACGTGTTACTTTACAATTTTTACTAGGGAAAAATTTAGGAAGTTTATAGAAATATAAATAAGTTTAATAAGAGACGTCTCAAATTGATAAATTTACGGAAAAGTAAAATGAAAATAATACAATTATTTTATCTGTATTATTAATTTCCCACGAGCGATTTGTAAATTAGCAGTTCTTGGTAGTTTCCGGTGATATATAAAATGAAAAGTTTATAACATATTTGAATATGACAAGACCATAATTCCACCTATAACCTGAACCTAACGTCATCGCCGCCGAAGAAATGTATAGCTCAACTCTGTGTTCGCATTCACGATGAAGGTATTTTTTCTGATAGCAGCTATGATGAGCCATTGGCCACAATAAGGGTTCGAATCTAATCAACTGTATCTTACTCAGTTGCTGACCATTTGACAAACCTAAGTAAAACAACATCAAACACTCCTTTCGGGCTGTGTATTCCTAATTATATGAAAACCTAGAGGGAATCTGTTATCCAAATACTAAATGAAAGCGTCATAAGAGGCAATAAAAGTTTTTTGTAATACTGATACTATTTTGTTACCACAAACTTCCTAGCCAACGCAACATCTTACGTGGCACGTGTATAGGTACACTGGAACTTTGCAATTACATATTATGTTGTACACATTAGTGATGAACGAATGTCTTATTTTTGTCTGCGAATGCGAATACCTGCCGACAATACATACGCGAACGCGAATATTGACTACGAATTTGGACCAGTTTTTCCATGGTCAAAGTACCTAAACATCAAAACAGTAGTCAAATAACCAAAATTAAGCAATAGCTAAATTTTAGTAGAAACTGGGATCACCATTAGGAATAAAGTGTCAAAAAAATCCCATAAATTATATTAAACCTTCTATTTTTTAGCTAAAGTATCAACATGATATACTTTATAATGCTCGGAAGTCGGAACAGTCCGGACTGTTCCGACTTGTCAAAGTAGACAATTGACCGGACTGATGTAATAGAGGTGAGCCTATTGCCATGTATCGGGCACATTTCTAGACTCCGTGCTACTACTGACATTTTTTTTTAAATTCCCAGGAATACTTTGCCCGACCAGGGAATCGAATCACCGATGTTTTTACTGGCTACCCACGGACAGTTTAGGTGGCACTGACTTCTAACCTATCAGTGGGTGTGTAAGCTGTAAGTACGTATGACCAATAATATGTAGCAATTTTTTGCTTTTTTAGTTTTTACTTTTCGTTTAAATTTTTATTTAAATTGATATTTTAGTTTAAAAATAAAACTTTGTTTTAAGTTCAAATAAACAGACTGATAAAAATATAAGAAAATAATATGTTTTAGTGCGATCTTCTGTGGGTAGGTAATTTATTTATTACATTTTTTTAGTTTGGAAAGTTGTAATGAAAAGTTATTCTTTTTCTAATTCAAATTACAAAATGATCACCAATATAGGTAACGATTACAATATAGGTAACGATTTTAAGACAGTTGAACCAGAAATTGTAATTTTAAATCTTATTTTTTATTTTCTGATGTTCATATTCACATAAAAAATTGCGAATGTAAATTTCAAAAGATGTGTGAATATTTGCGAATGTGAATATTCGTTACATCATTAGTACACATAATATTCCTTATATCATAGCCTAGCAAACACCCATGGAAAATAATTTCGGCGAAGTAAACTAGATTTTATCGAAATCAAACACCCCTAAGACGATAAAGGGTAAGCAGAGTTATCCTTTATCATCTAACATAGATGGTCTACAACCTGATGGTGGTGAGTGCCAAGCACGAATAACTATTGATTTCGTATCGTAACAGTAACGAGCGAGTAAAGCGCTCTGATTGGTTGGTTCACTTGAGCCGGCCAATCAGAGCGCCGAACGCGCTCGATACGATTTCGTTACGAATGCGATAGTTATTCGTGCTTGGCACTCTGATTGACCGGCCGAATGCGATAGTTATTCGGGCCCTCTGATTATGCGCCCAAAAAGCTTCTGTATCGAGTAGGTTGTATTTTTGTCATATTTGAAGCCGATAGGGCTGCAAGAAAAGCAAGAAAAACTTTTCAGGACACTGGTAGTATCGTCGACAACATCGTATTGCAGACTCGGTTGCCAAAGGAAGAAAAAAAAAACTATTCATAGAGAATCGTAATTTAAAAAATTATCTCTGTAGCCCTACAAATTCTTGAAAACATTTTTCTTAACATTTTTTCTCATTTATATGTCTTTTTGTATAGGTACCTTCTTTTCAATAAATAATCAAACACAATTTCAAAAAAACCTTTTCGTTTCATTTTGACCATTATCGAGTTAAAGCGAACTATACTTAGGTATACTTATACTTATACGAAACTGTATTTGAAATGTATAAGACCTACTTTTTACAGAAAAAAAGGTATTTATCGTCAAGTGAGTTCAGTAAGAATTTAAAATAACTTACCATTATTGTAAGTAACTTTCAACTTTCCTGTTCCATCAACGCTGGCAACAGCCAGTCCTGATATCGTTGCTAGTCCTTCATTAACAACTTGGCTGTTCAATACGGGTATTTCGCCATTAGGACTTTCTGATAGCTCATATTTAACACGGTTACACTGACCAGTTTGTGTTGGTTGCGGGTATTTAGAGAGTTCTATCCATTCACCCATATACTGGCGATAAAATGAAATATTATAATCATTTAAAATAACTGTGTACCTACTGTATAATATTTTCTTTATTTTTTTTAATATAAATTTTTGCATACATGCATACACAACCTCATGCCTCTCATGGGAGTAATCAGAGTCTAGAACACCAACTGCTACGATTCTTACATACCTCTTTCGCTTCCTCAGGGGCCGCCTCCACGAGCGAGAGAGTCGCGACGAGTCCGCCGTTATATCGTCGGATAATCTCCACGAACGAGCGATAATTCCGCCGCGTATCGCGGCGATTCCGCGGCGACTCGTAACGGTATCGCCGCGTTTCCTTGACGTTGATGTCACGTTGCCAAAGAAGGGATTCAGTTACGTGTCAGACGAGAGCGAAATAAGTAGTGTCTCACTGAAATGACGCTGCGTTTGACAGCGCGCCCGCCCGCGCTCGTCACGAGAGCGCCGCGAGCGCGCGGCGGTCGCGTTGCTAGTCGCGGCGGTCGCGTTGCTAGTCGCGGCGGGCTAGCGACGATGTAATGACGTTTTGCGCGCTCGTTGCTATTCGTCGCATCGCGGCGATAATATCGCCGTGTGGAGACGGTTCCATAGAGAATGTATAGAAAAACGTGGCATGGCGATAATATCGCCGCGATTCTCTCGTTCATGGAGACAGCCCCTCAGCTTTCATCAGTCTTTTCATGCATGCTCGACCTTTTCGTCTAGGTCAAAAAAGACACAGAAGGCCTTATTATGGTGTTTTGACAAGACTTTCTCTGAAATGCACCTTAGTGAAAAGACTTGATCCGTACACCCTATTCCCTTTCAAAATCCCACTTGTACGGTCAAGGTCTAAAGTGGACTTCCAAAGTCAAAACACTTTTGCATAGCAATATTAGTGGCGCTTAGGACCTTCTATATCTTTTATCTTAGCGTCGTTATCAAAATATGAGGGTAGATTTGAAACAAAGTGACAAGTTCGCTTTAAATCTACCGTCATATTTAACTACTTTTCTAGTACCATAAATTATTACGGTATTCGCTGTTGTTGATTGGTGAATATAGCTACGAGTGTTTGTGTACATCTTGGTGTTGTGATATTATTATTTTGTATTCATTATGCAGCTAATACTAGTATTAAAACCACAGAAATATTAAAAATTCTTTATTATATCTGTGATTAAAACCAAGGCAAATATTGTGGCCCTATGTTTAAATATATCTCAAATATCGAATGAAACTGGCTTATGCGTAAGTAATTTTTTTAACTTCAGGACGTGATCCTACAAAATAATATAGATAAATTGCTTGTTGCATGTAAGTAATATTTATATTTATATTTTTAGAGAGAGACTACTAGCCGTTGGGTGAAGAGATTTGAGGAAGAAGGTAGCCTGAAGAGTCGTGATAGGAGTGGAAAACCATCCCTTTTTCATGATAGCTGATTTATGAGACGAATGGTTTCATCCCAACAAGGCGGTTTGCTGATGAGTTCGGAACATCAGCACGACGCACCGTTCGCCGCAGACTCCGAATGACAGCTAAAAAACCGTTTGTAAAGCAACGGCATAATAATAGGCGGCCCGGGAATAGTTGGACTTTGTGAATAGTGAATATGTGGGGGTGGATATGTGCTCAAGGGCCGGACGAATTAAGTTTTATTTCAACGCGAGCCAACAGTGTCAATTATGTGGAAGTGTTGAACGATGTTATGTTGCCTAAAATGAAATAAATAAATAGGTATATACCTAAAAATTATATAAAAAAAATATTATTCATATATCAAGAGATAAAAATAAATTACTCAAATATACAAGTAGATAATCGTTATATGTAAAATATAAAATAAATAATATATATATCTTCCTTACACTTACAAGACCCTAAAGCCTAACCTTAGTTTTGAACTCACACCTATCCCTATTTTAGTATTTGTATGTTCTTTTCTGTTTTCTGTAAAATAAAACAATAAAATATTCCTATTTGTGGACAAAAAAGCGAATTGCGATAACATCATTATTCAGATATTTCTAAAGTTCTTGTTCACATCGATTAACAATTATGAATGTTAAACTTTGGTTAACAAAAATAGCGAAAATTCAAACAAAATCGAAATTAAATTGCTTCAAAAGTAACTTTCTACAGCCATTATTTTTTTCAAATCAGTGACCAAGCTCTGCTTTTGTTCTTTATTTTAAAATCTTAAATTCAAATTTGGAAGAATACATACGGGAAAGACGATGAAATATACCAGCATTAAAATGCATAAAACCTTTTTTGTTATATTGCATATATTTTGTGTAATGGGCTTTTGGGCCCGGGAATGTAATGTGGCTCGATTCAGGTGTCCGGAAGTGTATTTAATAAAAACAATAAGAACGTCATCAATGCTGGGATCGAACCTGCGACCCGTCATCGTTAATCTCATGCGCCAAGCTTACAACTACCAAGTGTTTCGAAATATTTGATGTCATTCAAAACTATATACTATATATTGTATTTATTGGTATGATTATATAGTATGTAGCTCGATCATTCATTATTCGATTTATTCAATGTTTGTTACATATTATTTTTATCTTTACCCTCATTTTTGTTTAGACTTATTCAATGATTTAATATATATACCGTCACTAAGATAGGTAATATTAATTATACTAATGTGTGCGTGATGGACGAATGTTGTTATGCACATTAATTTGAAATTACTTACGCATAGCCGTGTGAAAGTCACACACGGATAAATATACGTGTGCATGTGTGTATAAGCGCTGCAGCGCAAACGATAGTAGTCATTACGGTGACACTCGACTTAAAAATTTGACTGTACATCCCAAATTTTATTTTTAGTCACATCCGTTACTCTTTTAATCAATATCTTGGCATACGACTTTCCTACTGCGCTCAGGAGGCTTATACAGTGAAATGTTTTGCACTCCTGTTGTGACCTTTCCTTTATGCAGTGTCAAAATTGTTATTACGGTCTTGTCCAAGTCTCCAGGGGTACAATCGGACCATCAATACTTATTAAAAAGTAGATTCAGCAGGCTTGCAATTACACCTTCGCCCCTTGGTAACATTTCAGTAGTTATCTTATCTCGCTGCTCTTCCTACTTTCAAACTCTTAATGACACTTATGATTTCATCCGTATTTATTTCTCCCACACTAGCAGCATATTCATTATCATCGTTTGCTATCAATTACTATCAATTTTTGAGACTTGCATAATGAACAACGATGTGTTTATTCTTACGTTACTTAACTCGTCGAGTACCGGTTTTATAGACACAATTATAGAACAATAGGTTGCGGTCACCGGTGACCGCTTGGTGTTTGACAGTTTAATATTGTAATTAAAAACAAGATACTCACTTTATCCGCCTCGAACCCCGGAATCCCTTTAATGCTGTGGTCGCAAATTCCAGGCAGCTCGACGTAGTCCCATGTTGGATCAAACTCTGGATAATAGAAACAATCGTCGGGTTCTTGGCTTGTAAGCTGATAGTAATCTTTATGGAGACCTGGGGTCCTGCTTACGACTGCATCAATCTCAGATTGGTCCTCTGGGCTCAGTGGTCCTGTTTTGCTAAGCACCCAACTGCCGACTAAAGAAATGATAGCATAAGCAAACATTTTTAGGAAAAAAAACATATTATTTAGTAAGTAAATAATCTTCAAAATTACCTCGTCTGTTTCCATTTTGTAAAGTATCGCACGTGTATACAAGAGCATAACTTTCGTAGTTGGTCGCAAGGATGTAATAATCTGACTCTCTGTTCTCTGAAATAATACATTTTTGCATTTCTTAGAATGTATTTAAAAGGTGAATCTCGTTAATGTTTTGGTTTTAGATAGAAAAATGGATGTGGTACAACTTCACTTATTTGCCTCAACACTTCAATAGTGTACCTTTCAAAATCAAAATTAATTAATACAACTACGTTCAAAATCTGACTTTAAACTCAGATAAAACCAAAAAATAATGATTAGATATTCCTAGTGGCCCTGCCCCAGTTTCGCCCAGGTGCTATTTCCTGATATTCCCGATGAATGTATCGAATTATTTTTAACTAGTTCTCTGGAACCTCACTAACTAATTTCACCAAAATCGAACAAAGTGTACTCTTGTCGTAAGTGGGTAATATAATTACATTATTCAATTTTTATGTAAATTATTGTAAAACTACGTAAAGATAATATTGACAACTAATTTTGACTGCAGAGTCGGAATAATTAGGTATTGTTTAAAATAGAACTGCTTCCAAACTTATGAACGGTAGTGTATATCTATGGGGTGGTTGAATTTATATTATGTTCGTAGACGACATGAGAGAATAAAAGGATAAATATTTACAATAGGCTTGATGACGAATTACGAAAATTAAAAATTTAATTAGTTCATCATTAAGGTAATGAAAAAATATTTATCGTATAAGAAATAGTAGGTACTTAGATAAAACGAATATAAGTTTAGCTACGTCATTCATAAGTACATATTTCAAATCAATATAAATCGTCGAAAGTAGTGTATAGTATAGTCTATACTAATATTATAAAGAGGAAAGATTTGTATTTTTGTATTTTTGTATGTTTGTAATGAATAAACTCAAAAACTACTGGACCGATTGCAATAATTTTTTCACCATTAGAAAGCTGCATTATTCAGAAGTAACATAGGCTATATAATATCACGCTAGGTCCTATAGTTGTGGAGCAGTAACCAAAAATGTTTTAAAATCGGGGGAAAAGTATCGTTTCTGAGGCCTTCCGTGGCGTGCGCTGAGCATATAGTTAAAGTTATACAAAAATGCTCTATAGATGAATTGTTCATCTTAACATTATTTTTAAAAAAGTCCGCGAGAGCATATGTCTACCTTTTATAGTTTACCCATAACAATCGTTTTAATGAATGGTTCAATCCTTATAAAAGTTTGCTCTAGATAACTTTTGAATTGTTCAATCGGTTACCTTAAGACTATTAACTCGTCGAGTACCGGTTTTGTAGACACAATTATAGAACAATAGGTTGCGGTCACCGGTGACCGCTTGGTGTTTGACAGTTTAATTCATCCAAAAGATACCTATTAGGTAAGTACTTACCTACTATTTAAAAAATAATAAACTGAGAATAAATATAAATAAAACGTAAAACTATGTAAAAAATGTTAAGTCCCCCCGTGCGAAGCCGGGACGGACCGCTAGTATTCCATAAGAAAATTAAAAATACGTGTCCAATGTTCGTTGTTACAACTTCGCTCCGCATTATGGTCAAGACTAGGGCCGGACGCGAGAGGTCGCCGTCGCTGATACTACCTAATGATACGGATAGTATTTAACGTAAAACGAGCTAGTTATTTAAAACAATTTAATTGCTTACCGCCATTGACATTGTATGTAACTTGGAGCTTTCCACTTGCATCTCCGCTGGCAAGAACTGCTTGTCCTGATATCGTTACAAGTCTTTGGTTCACAACTTGGCGGTTGGTTACGGAGAGGGTGTGATTATTAAGTAACTCGTACGTAGCACGGTTACAATGACCAGTTTGTGTTGGATGTGGGTATCTATCGAGTTCTATCCACTCCCCCGTGTACTGCAATAGAATGAAATATTACAATCACGCGAAATACCTATGTACTTATACTGTATAATATTTTCTTTGGATTTTTCAAATTCGAATTTTGGATAATTAATGAACATGAGTATTTAAAAATGTGTGTACCTACTAATGTAATTTAAAAGAAAAAACTTACTCTTTCCAAATCAATTTTCTCCATTCCTTTAATTCTATCGTCGCAAGCTCCAGGAAGCTCGACGTATTCCCATGTTTCATCAAAATCGGGGTAGTAATAACAGTCGTCTGCATCATGACTTGTGAGCTGGTAGTTAATTTCATCTAGACCTTCAGAATTGTACAACTCAAAGATTTTACTCATCTCTTCACGGTTCTCTTGGCTCAGTAGTCCTGTTCTGCTAAGCTGCCAACTACTGACTAAATTTAAAGATAGCGTAAGTAGACATTTCGTCGCAAGTAACAAAGCACAAATAGTAGACAACTTGTATTTGGTATTACCTCGTCGTAATCCGTTTTCTACATTTTCGCAGCTGTATACAAGAGCATATCCATTATAGTCGGTCGCAAGGACGTAATAGTCCACGGTGTTGTCTGAAACAATTGTTGTTTGTAGTACTTGTATGTACATACCTAACAATACATTGATATACAGATTACATAGAAAGGGTTGTATATACGTATTATATTATTTGTCTATTAAAATAAAGTCGTGTTTTGTAGTTACACTATTAAATAACTCACGAACGGTTTAATCGTTTTGTCTGAAAATTGATGGGGAGGTAGCTTAGAACCAGGAGGTACCTTAAAGATACCTTTTTTATCATGATTTCCCATAAATCCTATGGCAGTTGCGGGTAGAAGCTAGTTTGTATAGATTATTAGGATAGAAATGCATATTATATCAAAATCAGAAGTTGTATATAGTCAGTTTCCTCAGTTACAAATATATCCCTTATTTTTCTTAAAAAAAAAAAAAAACGTTGCCCAACACTAGGATTTTCTCATGTATGGTGGGTGCGTTTACAAACATGCAATTTTAAAATTATACACAACTAGCGCTAGCGAAACCGTGGGCAGAAGCTAGTTCATGAATAAAATATATTCAGGTAATTGAATACGTACTGTTTAAAATCTCTGATTCTTATGCAGCTAAATACTAATATTAGTCCTTGAAAACAGTTTTCTATTCAGTCATTCAGGCAGTCAAAGACTTAAGCATATTAGGAGTTTTTTGGTAATATTTTCACATTTCAGGTTTTCACATTATCGAAATTTTCACACGGTTCCCTCTTTTCTCTTTTATTAATTATAGCTTATGTTCATCATCGATAATGTAGGATTCCAACGGTAAAAAATTTTTCCAAATCGTCCCGGTAGTTTTGGAGGAGATTCCATTCAGACAACCAAACAAAAAATCAAATCTTCTCTTTTTATACTATTAGTGTAGATAAAAATGGTTGTAAAAATTACTTACTGTTGATAGTAACTTGCAATTTTCCGGTTCCATCGTTGCTAACAACAGCCTGTCCTGATATCGTTTGCAGTTTTCCGTCAATAACTTGTCGGTTTGTTACTGAGATAACGCCACCAGGAAGTACCCCAGCAGTGTATCTAGCACGGTTACACTGACCAGTATGTGCTGTCTGTGGGTATCTAGAGACTTCTATCCATTCTCCCAAATACTGGAATGAATTAAATATTAAATATAATAAAGAAGATCCTGATGATTGCTTGACACTATTTGGTGCATCCAGTTAGTTGTTAAAGCCAGCCTGATAGTACAGCTGCAAATCGTCAGCACACAGATGATACGCACACCGACGATCAGAGGTGATGAGATTAATAAAGATAGAAAACACGAAAGGTGATAGTATATCACCACGGAATATAGAATACAATGGAAGTAGCTTGAAACAATATTTCTGCCAGAACCGGTGTCGCCAAACTAATACATTTATAATTTACTCATACTATAAATCGGAAATTACGATTGGTTAGAAAAAAAATGGGCGTAAACGAAATGAAAAAAAAATATCATACGATATGCAACTTTAAAACCAATGTACTATAAATCAAAATAAAAAAGTATGTTTTGGACTACCAAGTACCGCCATTCGTCGCTAGATGGCGTTTAACAATGCCATCTAGCGACGAAAAGTGGTACTTGGTTTGAACTTTAACGTTGTAAGAATAAAGGTGATATTTGAATGGCTTATCACTGGCTCGAATGCGGGTCTCTACTCAGATAGTGATGTAGGATAATTCGATAAAAATAATATCGATAATATGAAAATGTGTTTTAAAAATAATATGAAAAAAAATATTGACTGCTATAGTGTGACAGTATTAAAATAATAAAATTAATATGTCGTTGATAACTTTTTAAACGTAACAAAAAAGGGTAAGTATTTATTTACATGTAAATCAAAAACCATTTTGTTCGTATTTTTTATTAGTTTCTTTTTTCAAAAAATCATTTTTTTTATTTCACATAGGCAATATAAGTAACAACTATTACATAAATTTTTACAAACTTTATATGGATAATGTGATAAATGAGAGGGATGGCGATAAGGATGACGGTGCTGATCTGCTCCGTGAAGTGAAGGTTGCTTCCAATCACGTCGGGGTCACCACTAAAATAATAATAAAAAAATAATCTAAATAAATGTTACATTACACTTGCATCGATATCAATCGATAAATTCAATATGTGATTTGACTACATAACTATTTGAGTAGCGTAGAACTGGCGAGAATGTTCTATTGAATGGAATAAATCCAAAATAAACTTTATCTTGAAGGCGTAAGGTTGATTTTGACTAACCGTTTTAGTAAATAATATTATTTTAATAACTGTTTTTGTAAATTGAAATAAAATAAGATTTCTACAAGAAAACAATAAAAATTGTACTTACCGATGATACGGAACACCTCCATTTTTACGATTTTTCGGCTGCTATCATTTTTACACGCCAAAACGGAACAAAACGGCATAGTTGAGGAAATATGTATTTGACACGAGACTAGCAACTCGACGCCATGTTCGAACGAGACTGAACTCAAATTTTGCCTCGAGTAAGCAGTACACAGCTTAGCTGTGGCACGCGTGCCACGCCTACTTGCTACTTCCATTGTATTCTATATTCCGTGGATATCACCATCCTTGACCGACTGCTGACGCTCCTAAGAAGACAATCATTTCATTGATTCACCCGAGGCAAATTGGTTAGAATGGCTAAAAGGATGTTGTGACTGACCATATGGCAGAAGGCATTTGGGAAGTCAACCAACGCCAGGACTGTTGGTCTAGCATTATCTATGCTCAAAGCCGGTTTCTAATAGGTCACATATGATTTTTTTATTGAAATGAAAGGACATCGCCGAAATCTGGCCGAGATACCGTTAGCAAAAAACAGAAATGAAATGCTTATATGTCAAAAAAAATCTAGTTTCATTATGTTTGTTTATTATTATTATTATATAAAAAAAATTGTTTCAAATCACATTATAATCATTTGCGAATGGATGTCAAAAAATAAAAGTTGCTAAAATGTGGAAGTCATTTTAGGAACAAAAATTAAAAAGCAATCACGAAGCCAATGACAAATTGACAACCTACTGTCAACAGAAAAAATAGAAGAAGTATGTACTTCTCAATTGCCATAGAAGAAAAAAAAAGTATGTACTTTTTCTGTTTAGATGCCAGAATTTGTGATGAGACTTAAACTGAAAAAGTAATTTCATAAAAATATTTAACATTATTTCGGAATTATAATCAATACATAGTATAAAACAAAGTCGCTTTCGCTGTATGTCCGTATGTATGCTTAGATCTTTAAAACTACGCAACGGATTTTGATGCGGTTTTTTTAATAGATAGAGTGATTCTTAAGGAAGGTTTGTATATATAATACATGCATATTGCACCCGTGCGAAGCCGGGGCGGGTCACTAGTATAATTATAAAAACCTCAGTGGTATTTTTTAAACAGATAAGTAATTACTAGCAATTACAAATAAAAATATAATTCATTTTTAACTCTATCCAAAAAGACCTTTTAACATATAAGAAGGGTGTCAGTCAGTTGTATTCTTATTTTTTTAATTATATCGTGAGATTTTTAGAAAGAGGATGTGATAAAGGATATCGAGGTTGGCAACTACAGCAACACCCGATAAAGAATTTAAATAAAAAATAATGGATATATATGTGTCCCTGTCAATACCTTAAAAAATAAGAAACTTACATCAAACACGTTGAAGTTGTCAACGCCTCTGATACTGGTGGTGTTACAATATCCATAGAGAAACACATTTGCTAGATGTGCATATGTTTGGGATGTATGTTCATATTTGCTAGGTTCAAGAACAGAAATGTTGGCGATGAACTCATTCATTTCATTTTCATATTGCGGTTCTAAAGAAGGCGTCCTGCTCATTTTCCAACTGCCCACTGCAAATGTAATCAGTTGATTTAATTTTAACTGGCTTTGGTTATTAATTCGTCTGTATGTTGTTTCTTTTTGTGTGTATATTACGCGATTACACTTCTGTAGGCGGATTTGAATAAATCTTTTTTTGTTGTAAAGGTTACAGGTTGATTAGGTCCCGAGGTGGTCCCATTTCCAATCCAAAGTAGAACTTGTAAAAATTCTAGGGGCGACTAGTGCGTTTGTAAAATTTTTTCTACAATTTAATAACGGTCTGGAGTCAATTTTATGATGAAACCGAGAGACAGTCGAGGGAACTCCTCGAGGATTTACACCTGTGACCCCGTATTTGGGTTTGAATTATGTGTATAAAAATACTTTCATTGATCATACGTACGTACAAGTTACATACCCACTGATAGATTAAATGTCGGTGCCACATTTGTTTGTCCATGACCATGACCATTGTCACAGGTATAATCTAAAATTAAATTGTAAACAGCTTAATAATGTTGGCTATCTTTCAAGGCTTTTATGAATAATTTTATTTAAAATTTGTGGTACCGACTTCTTACCTATCAGTAGGAGTGTACCTAATGTATAATCTTTAAGTACGTATGACCGATAATGGTAATTTTTTGCTTTTTAGTTTTTACTTTTGGTTTGATTTTAGTTTTTGAAGTCAGTTTTTTGTAATTTGTAAATATTTTAGTTTTCAGTTTTACATAATTTGGAGTTATAATCACGTCAATAACTTCCTTCAATTTCCATGTTTACTACACATTTCTGTTTATAATAAGCCAGGTTGTTGTTCTAAGTAGGTCCGTATCAGTATAACTATGCCAGAGGTCGATATTTCAAGAGAAAAAACCGACTTCAAAAACCAAAAACTAATAAAAACTAAAAGTCTAAACTAAAAAGAAAAAAAAAAAACTATCATTAGTACTGATAGGTTACCCACCCACTGAGGTTAGAAGTCGGTGCCATAACCTCTATACAAAATTATTAATTAAAACTTTAATAGATATCTACCTAATTTATAATTTTGTGGCCATTAAGTTATATCATTATAATATGAGCTTATGGCACCGACTTCTAACCTCAGTGGGGGGGTAACCTATCAGTAGTCATCCTCATCAATACAAATTAATCAAGACCAAACGCAAGGTAGTTACTTAAACTGTACTAATTTCAATGTTTTTTTTTCAGCAATCAATTTAACTTCTCCACGGACTCCTGATTCGTGCCCTTGTCATACAATGTTTGAATTCTACTACGACGTCCGGGCCATCCGACGGGTGACGTCTCTGCGTTCGTAGGCATATTTACTTATTTTGTACGTCTCTTGATAATTATTATACAAATTAATAATATTTAATTTAATTACATTGACTTCCTCCGTTTGGCAGATCACTGCAGCTGAACAACACTGCATAATGTTGAGTGAAAGTCAAAACTCGAAGAATTGACTGTCTCGGTTCTGAAATGGAAGAATAGTTTAATGAGCATACCTAAATTTATTTTATTTATTATAATCTAATTCAAAACCTACCTGCAAGAACCAAAGTGTCTTTTACCGAGTTATATTATGTACTTTCTTCTATTATTTAGACACCACTAACAAACGGTGAAGGGAAAACACTGTGAGGTAACCTAAGCTTATAATGTCTAATGATACGTTTTAAATCGCCGACACGCATTGTGCAAGCTTGGTGATTAAAGCTCAACCCTTCTCCGTGTGAGAAGAGACCTTTGATCAGGTCCTCCTTAATTAGTATGGAGATACGGCGATTTTACGCCACATTCTCCGAGCCACCCTATAACTTATTCTCAGCACACCCCATTGTTATTACTGCACACTAGAGTTAGAGCTTGAGAATTTAGTTTACTGTGCAACAACGAGCTACTGACACTTTGACAATTCAACTAGTTCAACAAACTATAGGTACTAGGTAAATTAATATGCCGCACAGTACTAGATTCGACCGATCTAAGCGGACAAAAGCCCCGGCGATAGAAGCCATGGATGATTTCCCCTCTGTAAAAAAAGTGGATAAAAGCTAAATACGTGATCAAAATAGGGAATTTTTTACTGCACCTCTATTTAGAAATTTAAGCAAACCAATTTTCTCCACTAATATCCTACTGCATATCATAAAAAATTATTATTAAAAAAACAAAATACCCGACTGCACACTAAAAAAAGAGTAAAACAAGCCCCACAATAATATTGATCAATCAAATGCTAAAAACTAATTATGTAATACCGTTTAAACAATACCTATATTAAAATACACTACAATATGTGTTCGTAATCGATAGTTAAATAAACAGAAACTTATTTTGAATACAAATTTACTGAATATAATTTATAAATGTTGATGGAAAGCATCGCAGGCGGGGACCACCTTGACCGCCACCAACGAAAATTCTGCTAAATGGTGCACAACCGAAATGACTATAAATAAGCCTCTGTTGGTCCCCGCCTGCGATGCATTCCATCAACATTTATAAATTATATTCAGTAAATTTGTATTCAAAATAAGTTTCTGTTTATTTAACTATCGATTACGAACACATATTGTAGTGTATTTTAATATAGGTATTGTTTAAACGGTATTACATAATTAGTTTTTAGCATTTGATTGATCAATATTATTGTGGGGCTTGTTTTACTCTTTTTTTAGTGTGCAGTCGGGTATTTTGTTTTTTTAATAATAATTTTTTTATTTATAACTTTTTAGCTGTTTTTATTTCGATATATACAAATAGGGATATATCGAATAAAATCGCTATTTAGAGACGACCGTCAACGACGTGTGCCCTCATGCGTGTGCCCGCAATCGGGCTGTATACTCGAGCATATCCCCCTCCGCACCGCGCCGCGCGCCGCATGCCAGGCCACGCCCTATCTTTTTGCTTGCTAACGCATGAGTTGCTTTGCGTTGACGCAGAATTAACATGTTCCCGTGGGAATTTTGAGAAAAAACGTATCCTATATTAATTACTCCCGTGATTGAAATGAATCTAATGATACCGCATACATATTTTTTTAAAGGGAAATTTAGAAAAAATATTATTATGTCTTTATCCCGTGGGACTTTTAGGATAAAATGTATCCTATGACACTCCCGTAATCAAGACAAATCTAACGATACCTCATACATCAAAATCCATCAAGCCGTTTAGGCTACAGGTGGTCACAAAGGAAAAGACATACATACATACTTACATACACTCGAAAAACATTACCCTCCTTCTTTGGCAGTCGGGTAAAAATGACTGTACTACAAATTAACTACATATTACAAAAACATATTACATCATAAATCAAAAATACTGATTTGCACACAAATATTACAACGGAATTTCCAAAATAGGTTAGGTTAGGTTTTTTTTTAAGGGGGAAAATCATCAAATGACTGCTCCTGCTTGGGTGAGACGGGAGGGAGTGTCAGACTCTTACTGACTAAAAACCACCCCGTTCCTTCTCCTGCACGTCGAGCTGGAGCCCCGGTTACCCGTTAGGTTCTCCACGACTCCGAATCGGCTAGGTTATAGGTTAATAGGTTAGGTTATGAATTATTAGATAGTACAATTGATTTATTTGATGAGCAAATTTAATGTAAAATTCAGTATTTTTGGTGGTAATTTCGAATATTTTGATTGAAAAAAGGGAATTTACAGTTAAAGTATTAAATACCACCTGATTAAAATTTATGAAATGGTGTTTTTGTTTCATGACAAAAGATTTAAAGCAATTGTAAAAGTTTTAATCATAATTTAGTTAATATAAATGAGCGGATTTATATCATCCATCGCGTGAATGACTTAAGCTGGTGGTCTATTTCTCCATTGCACTCCTCTAAAAGTAAAATAATCTTCATAAAAGTCATTACCGCAGATACTCTTTGGTAAATGGCTTAGATCGCCAAATAATGTAAATTTCATTGTTTGAATATCAAGCTCTTGATGTGTTGCTGTTGGTCTTGAATAATAAAAGACTTCGGTATGATGAGAAGACTGTGTTTAAATAGGTACTGATTATAGAGGTAAAGGTCAATCGATATGTGCGCACGGCGTCGTGTCGGGCGAGCGAGTAAATGAATGACCGTCGATCGCAGCGGTCGCGGGCCACGTATGGTGGTGAGCCCGATGTGACGTCAACGTCAGGAACATCATTCATCCCTATAAAAATTATATTACAATAAATCCTATTATTCGATTAGTTAATTTCCTTTAATAAAACTGTAAGTTGGGGTCCAAAGTTGACCAATCAATTATTTTAAATTTATCGTTAACTATGTATGGGTTACAAAGTATCGTAAATTTACGTGTTCTTAATTAAACCTTACATTAAGTATGTATCAACTATAGGTAATGCTTCACACATTAGCTATAAAAGGAAGCAGATATCACACCGACAGTTATTAGTTGTTAAAAATACTTCGGAATTGCATAAGAATATATTTGCAAATAATAAGCAATGGAACATAATAATTAGTAATGCAAGACTTTATCGATATGTCAAACAATAACTTAATAGTATTTGAACTACCTACATTCATGATATTTAGTTTACAGGTTAATGTCGATTGCAGTAATAGTATCCTATCGTAATTGTAACACCCGAGCGTACGGCGCGTCGTGTTTCGCGCGCGCCTCAAAGAGCCATCAGACCACCACAGATGGGGCCCAATACAGCCGATGCCGATTCGGAGTCGCGGAGAACCTAACGGGTAACCGGGGCTCCGACTCGACGTGCAGGAGAAGGAACGGGGTGGTTTTTAGTCAGTAAGAGTCTGACACTCCGTCCCGCCTCACCCAGGCGGGAGCAGTCATTCGATGATTTTCGCCCTTTAATAAAAAAAAATCGTAATTGTAACACGTAGTATTTAATGTGTTTAGGAGTAATAAAATTATAGCTTGAGATATAATTTTATTACTCCTAAACACATTACACTGTCAAACACCAAGCGGTCACCGGTGACCGCAACCTATTGTTCTATAATTGTGTCTACAAAACCGGTACTCGACGAGTTAATCGGTTAACAAGTTGGTATCGATTAGCATATCGATCCCAACACGAAAGACTGATCTTTCGTTCTAAATGTCAACGTCAAAAAGTGTCAAGGAGTCAGTTGGTTGACGATCGCTGAGCGTGCAACAGTGTAAGTTATGTTTGTTATTTTTTATAAATGTACTGTTTAGAATCTATTTAATGTTTGATTTTTGCCCTTTTCTCTTCTGAGTCTTTCATAATAGTCTGTATTTTCGTATGATTAAAGGTTGTTTTTGCAGGTTTTGTCCAACTAGATCGGTCCATTCTAATAATGTGCGCTGATAGAAAATTGTGTGATATAATCAACTTACGGCCGTCGACAGTGAATGTAACCGTAATTTGTCCAGTGCTGTCGGCTGTGGCTGATCCGGATACCGAAGTCCATCTTTCATTTACAATTTGCTTGTACACTACTGATATTTCACCATTTATATCCGGTGCCCTGTATTCGACACGGTTACACTGACCATTTTGTGTTGCCTGCGGGTATCTACCAAGTTCATACCACGTTCCAGCAAACTGTTAAGAAATAATAAAAAATATAGCAATATCTTTAAGCTACGGTTTCTTTAGGTTGAAAATGTGTAGGTTTCATATTCTGTACAGAATTTCAAATTTTTAGAATGTAGAATGTTTTTTTTTTCGTTTAGAAATACTGAAGTAAATTTTTCAAACTGATTTTTGAGTAATTTCGACATAATTAATCTTACATTATAAAAGAAAGTCGTGTTAGTTACACTATTTATAACTCAAAAACGACTAAATAGATTTGGATGAAAATTGGCAGGGAGGTAGCTTAAAACCAGGAGACGGACATAGGATACTTTTTATATATTTTTTTAATTTTTATCTAATATCACGAACGGGAACGAGAAAAAACGAGAATGCGCGTACGAAGTCGCGGGCGGAAGCTAGTGTTAAATAAATTATTATGTTTTCGGCTTACTCAAGTTGTAATTCGACGAGGAACTCGACTAGTTTCAAGCCATGCTAGCCATGACTGCCGTCGCGTCGCGTGTCGCGAAATGCTGCTCATGAATATGAGCCTCTAGCATGGCTTCAGAGGTTTGACAACGTGTTTGACAATTTGACAGATGAATTTTTGACTCTGACTAACACTAACCAGAAAAAAGTGAGCGGTTACAGTTACAGTTAAAGTTATGACGTCATTAAAAAAATTGTCAACAAACATATTTTTGACCTAACCTATACTTCAACAGAAATTTTGACCTTTGTTATTGTTAAAATAAGTTGGTGCAACCCAGCGTAAATCTTTATAAACACATTTAGCGTGTGACCACTATAACTTTTTGTGATAGAGCGTCTAAAGCACAACCAGGCTTCACTGGGCACCGAATTTAGAGCAATTTTTGATAAGTTTGTCTGGTCAGAAGTACACAATTCTATGCTTATTTCAAAGCATTTATTTCAATTAAACCATAATTTGGAAACGTCAACAAATACAAAATAAATAATAGTCTGTCAGTCAGTCCGTCATTGAAGCTAAGTGCTCATTCCAAAATGTAGATTCGAATGGAGAAGAACGAGCAAGAAACTCCATTCGTCACTCTTTTTAAAGAAGTATGTTCTACAATGTGTCTGATACATATTCCAATACTGTACGTATATGTGAGAACAATGCAAAGACACGCTTGACGCATTATAGGTACTAATTACAAACCTTACTAAAATAAAAAAAAAATCTTATAGTCTAACATTGTGCTCATATATGCAATATGAGATACTCGATAGACATGTATCTTATTTATCTTAACCAATTGGGAAGGTGGCTAATAATTTTTGAGCGATTGTATATTGTGTGTGCGTAGAAATCTACATAACCTACAGTTACGTTACAGTTTGAACGGTGAAGAGGATTGTAACGTATGAGATATCGTTAGATTCGTCTTAATAGTGCGAGCAACGCTAGGATTAAAAAGATAAAAAATCAAAATGGCCTATTTTGGACAGCATATTGGTATTTCATATTTGTTAAATGACGCGTGCATGAATAAAAATTTTGCAATAAAAATTCGTTTTATGTATAAACCTGCTATTAAATATTTTTTGTATTTAAATTAAAACTGAAAGTTATATAGTATAAACTCATTACTAGTCACGACAAACAAATGTGAGAAACAATGATTAAAATAAAATCCTTCACTTTTCAAAATTAAATTCTTTATTTAACTTTCATCTCTCTACTCCTGCTGTGCAATTACTATTTTTCACTGCAGTATTAACAAAATCACTCAAGTTTAATATTATAAGTTTGACAAATAGCATGCACGTGTTGTGTTGTTAATTGTCTACCTTTTATTGTCGTTTGTTGTTTAAAAATGATGTTGTGTATTATCGGAATCGAGTTTTATATAATTAATTTGGCCATGTTTAACTGAAAATACACAAAAGAGTACATTGCCAACAACAGCACAATTATAACTTAAAATAATCGTCTACAATATTTATATAAAACGCATATGTTTACTTCTCTTCTTATATCTCTTGAAGTCAACCTTGTGAAAAGCCACTCGCGACACCACTTGAAAAAATCACAGATAGTTCACACACTATCTGTGATTATTTCATTGTGTCAGTGTAGACGCGTAATACACAAGATCAATGAAATTTATCTACACTGTAAATATAATAAATTAGAATTTTAAGTAAATTAGGCACTTCACTGAAATTATTATTATTATTATTTTTTTTTAAAAACGTTGCCCCACACTAGGATTTTCTCCTGTGTCGTGGGTGCGTTTACAAACATACAGGTTCACATACACATTACACCCAGACACGGAACAACAATCTGTGGTTCACACGAAGAGTTGTTCCGTGCGGGAATCGAAGCCGCGACACATTGCGCGGCAGTCAGTTGCCCAACAACCGCGCCAACCGTGCATTCGTTTGCTTACTCTTTGTAATGGCCACCCATTGGTCATCTCAATGTCCGTCATAATTGTTAAGGCCAATTGGCGCTGTCATCGTGCAACCAGCGAAATAAGTGTGTATCATAAACAATTAAAACTGTTTACGAAGCAGTAACGTTAAATCTGTCTATTGTTTTGACGAATGCATGCATTCGATCGCTGGTGTAATATGGACAGTGTTGTCCTAAGGGCTAAACCCCGAAACGAAACGAAAGTTGCGACGACGTACCCATTTGCAAATTGCAAACAGTGAACTGAGACGCACCTGCACCACTCGTAACATAAATTCTCAGACAAGTTAACGTTTAATAAGTTGATGTTAACATTAGTTCTATAAATGAAAATACCTACTTACCTCATTAAAGTCAAAACTCTCAAATTGTGGTATACCGAGATCTGAACACGATTGTTCTTTTGTTACTGACTCCCCTATACACACACTTACTAGCCCATATAAGTTCAAAATTAATAGTATGCTTAATTTCCACATTGTGCACTGTGGAATCATTACTTTCCAGTGCACCAAAATCGAATAAGTAGTCTTTATGTTGTAAATAGGCTAATCTGTTAATTAAATCTGTTATATTTTATCTTTCTTAATCATTTTACCTTTTTTATGGATTAGCAATAAGTCTGATTAATGGGTATGTTTTAGTAAGTCATAATATAATTATAATTAATAGGAGAAATACTTTATTGGATTAAAATTTAATCCGCATTAAATAATATTTTTGCAAAAGTAGCTTCCTTGTATGTCTTCTTCACACCAAATCTACCAAATCGATTTGGATGAAATAACGAGGAAATTATAAAGTTACTATAATTGGATTTTCTGCCGTTGTGACTGTTAAAATCAATAAATACGGCCTAGGGAATAGGAAAAATATTTTAGTTACACAAAGTCATAGAAAATCACCAGACAAGACACCAATAAATAGGGTTATGACTTATAATTTTTACCGATTTCAAAAAACGAGGAAGAACTATTTTCGGATGGTTGTTTTTTTGCTTGTTCACCGATTACTCCGCCATTTGTGAACCGATTTCCAAAGTTCTTTATTTTTGTTTGAAAAGTTATACTGCCGAGACAGGCCCGCCGCTAGCTATACGAGCGGCTGTGTGCAAATACCGATTATGCCACCCTCCCTTTTGTTGGCGGGTGGAAAGTCATCAATTGACTCGGAAGGGTATGGTACACTTTTACTGACAAAAAAACCATCCTGTTTCAACATTTGCTCGACGACTAGGACGTGGGAAGGTTTTATTCCTCACGTGGTCCACCTGCTCCTTAGCTACAGCATAACTGCTTCGTAGAAGGAGGAGACAACTTCCCAGTTCACGACCGGCATCATGGCCTGACTGAACTAGTATTGGGCGCAAAACTGCGTAAGTACTAAACAAGATAGTGTATTGCTAAAGGGTCTAGCCGGCCTGAAAACATCCTGGTATTCAATGTTCACTGCTGGATGCAAAGAAAAGAGAAACTGGTACCGATATTCTTTTCCTTAAAAATGAGAATAGTATTACCGCGCCGGTGTGAAATACTGCCTCAATCTATTGAAGACACCTAGCCTAATTGTGGGGCTAATTTAGCCTTACTTACTAAATAACTACGGAATTAGCAATATGTCTAGTATTCTAATGCTGACTAAGGCAGTAGTGCTCTAGTGGACATTAGGGCGGTGTCGCCTGTCAAAGAATCGTCTGTCAAAGACTACAATTATACAGGAAGTATTATTGTAAAGTGACTCCTGATAGTATCTCGGATGATGGCGATCCGATCAACCTGGAGATTGAGTTAAAATGGAGGTGGATTGGTCACACACTTCGATGGGTTCCCCATAATATACATTACCCAAGAAAGCTTTGCTCCTAAAGGCAAAGTAAGCGTGGCGACCCTTGTTAAGTATCACACCGTAGCCGATGTGACAGCTGGTATCGGTATTACGTCGATTGAGATTAAACGTGAACTTCAAGACCGATTACACTTAATTCGAAGACGACTCACTCACGACCTTCGACTCATGACCTTCGAGGCTGAAGAGATAACCAACGGCAGTTTTTATGTGCTAAGAATGCGGATTTGTATCTTCAGGGGGTTTAACTGGACAAATCCCCAAGACACAAAAGTCTGATTTTGCTCTCAATGCTGTTTTCTTTCGAAATTTTAATTAACGTAACCGGTGTAGAAATCATAGCTTGAGCTGGCATCTGCTTATCAATTAATAATACTTCATTTTTTGTAGGGTTTCATTGATATGGATGAGGAATAGATATGGCGATGTAAGCTGCCATGATTGACTATAGAGGTATACTGATATCGAAATTGGGGTAAAACCAATAGGGGCAATGAGTTCAGAAAGGAAAGAGTATTCCTCTATTTACCAGGAAATGCCTTTTATAAATTACGATTATGGATACTTTTATTGAATTTAGGGCGGCGGCTACCAACCGGTATAGTGTGGCAAAAAGTAAGCTCAGAGGGATTCTCTCAACTTTGCCAGTCCTGCCTTTCATAGCTTACTATTAGAACCCTAATAATAATGCTTACTACATCATTTACTTGCAGTCTAGCCGTATTGCAAAACTGCCTGTATATTAAAACTGCATTCATTTACGTCTTTTTTTGTTCTTTTTTTTTAAGAGGTGAGGCGGCAGAAAGTGTCAGGCTCTTACTGACTAAAAAACTCCATTCGTCATAGTTTTCTCTGCCTTTTAACTTCGGAATACTTTGCAAGTAATTCACAGCCATTGTCGCACAAAAACTCAAACTGTATTACTAGTAAATACTTGAATTTTTTTAATAAGAGATCGCCCATAACCTATTAACACACGACTTTTCTCAGAACAACTACCTTTATTATTTTTAATATTTTTACAACACAAGGTGACAACATACATAAAAAGTCATATTACCAACCTTATAAAATATTTTGTTACTTGCCAACCTAACAAAAACCACTCCGTTCCTTCTTGTGCACGTCGAGCCGGAGCCCAATTCTACATCAACAATTATTCGTTATAAATACTTATTATTTTCCTGATTTCAGTGCCGTTTTAGGTAGACTTAGGTGCTGATATAATCGTGATCTTCGGATCTAGCCCAACTTGATGGTTTTCAGCTCAAATTCCTGATTTAGACCGGATCGACATAGCCTTTCATTAGCGCTACCGGGCAATTTGAGAATAGTCCAGGACATTTCATTCTGTATTACACTAGTCCATAAACTAAGTATAAAAGTGTGTGTGATCATAACTTAAATAGACTCTTGTGGTAACTCATTTGGCAGAATTAAGAAAAAACACAAATGTGTTTTTTAAGTCGCCCAGGGTAACAGTACGACTATAGACGGAAGAAGCAAGCGGGGAAAAAGTAGCCAAGAGGCTCATTTCCATTCACTAGATAAATTACAATTATATTTGTATCGGATTTGGGGCACCATCAACCGGGATTGGGGGGTAAGTAGCAGAATTCTTCTAATTTTACCAGTCCTAACTTTTATAGAAGACGACTTAGGATAATTGTATACAATTTGAGGCGTCACTAACCGGTATAGAAGGGCAAAAAGTAAACTTAGAGAGAGTCTTGTATCCGTTTTAGAGCGCTATCAAATATGTAGTAGGTATTGGGTGGCGAGCAGTAGGATTCTCTAGGTTAGGTCTCTAGTTTCTAAGGTTCCTTGTATAGAATTTGGGGCGCCACTGAACGAACGTGATCAGGCAGTGAACAATTTGCGGATGATTCCACGTTTGGTATTGCATCTTAGTCTTATTCTTAACGGATGACAATAGATAGTGATAGCACTAATATTGCTCGCTGCGTCGATTAGGTTTTTTCCAATGCCACCCCCCTGATCGTGCACCTGTGTGCCGTGCACGCTTTACACGCCCGCTTACAGCGGTCCTGTCCCAGGGGGTCCCATTTTACCAAGTCAGGATCTGACGATGGAATCCTATGAAAACAGAGAGGAACTTACGAAAATTGTAGGGGCAAGTAATGCGTCTATTATATTTTTTAATAATTATTAGGAAGATCGAGAGGTGTTTTTTTCACGTCGCAATTTCCAGAACGAAAGCGATCAAGCAAAAAGAACCAAGTCTATCAACCGTAACCGTAATCATTTGTCAGGCGCTATATTTACATTCTTATCCATTTTTATCTGAATGTGGTGGTGGGTTGAGTTGGTTTGTGGTGTTAGCTCCGTAAACGTCGTTGATGTTGCGTGTCGCTTGTGTGACTTAATACTAAGATGTGTTCAGTTCGATTTGATAGGAATGATAATGTAGTTTTTACACAAAAAAATGATTTTACTAATTTTACTAAATAGTGAAGTATTGCTGGTATTATTTGTCAGGCGCTATATTTACATTCTTATCCAACTTTATCTGAATGACAATACATCATACGTGATATTTTGGGGTTTCCGTTGATGTGATAGATGCAGTTGGTGGTTATTGTTATATTTTTTTCTCATTGGCTGTTTTTAACTCTCAAAAAGAAACCGCCGAAACCGGCATTTGCTTAGATTTCACATCCTCGCGTCCTCCATTCGGGTCTAGTAAGACGATTCGAACATGATTTAAAGGCTCTATAGTTATAGTTATTGGTACACAGAACTCAGTAAGGACTGCATGTATTATCCATCAGACGCGCATACGTTTTAGTATCTAATATAAAACTAACAAAGAAAACATTAAATTAATAACCTTCAATAAAACGATAACTGAAATAAATCACAATCGAATAACAAACTAGGAGATTCGTGCGAGTCATCCGGGGACGTATATGACAGTGAGGGACGTGGAATGACTCGGTTACAGTTTATGAGTACTAACAATACGAAACTTATATCAGTTCTTCCCATCCGTGCATGAGCGGTTGGAGAGGACATGGTTGGAGGTGGATCACTGTGTTGCCCAATTTCTTACTGGCCACGGCAACTCAAATTGTTCTTATTTAATCCTATTGTTTCACCATGGTGCCAATGCTCGGCAGCGGAGCTGCAATACGAGCAATCCGCCCATCATATACTCTGGGGGTGTGATCTCCGACAGTATGAACGTAACACTATGTTAAATAATTTAATTGTTTCGTCAGATGTAGCTTATTATACGGATCTTGTGGAATCTAGAACAAATTTCCGTGTGTTTAGGCGCTTTTGTCACACCTATTATTGGAAGCAAGTATCTCCGTAGCTCACACATAGGATCCACTTAGTTTTTAGTCAAATTTCCGTGGTGCTTGGCGACTGGACTTCACCCAGTTGTACAGTGTCTTTGGTGTCTATAGGCTTAATTCATTCTGCCTCCTGCAGTAATTAATTTAGTTTCTTTTTTTGTCTGTTAATTAGTTCGTCAGTTCAGAGCGTATGACAAGGATAAATAATAAGACTTATTTAATTCTTATAATACCTACATAGACAAAAATATAATATTATAATTTTATAAAATATTTTTTTACTATTTACAACAATAATTGAAATATGGCGCATACAAGGATAACAACAATACTGCTTTTGAATAATAATGCTGAACTCGGTTCTTGACAGTTATCATTTTGTTCAACTGTTTTGAAATATGGTTCATAGAGCTCTTGTCTTTGTTGTATCAGGCATGCGATGGCTGTCTCTCCAGCAGGCGACATAGTCCTTTCACGACCCAGCTGCCAAGCACGAACTAGAAGACAATGGTAATAATATAATGTCAGTTGGCCATTTGCTGGTTAGCAAATACACAGGTTAATTTTTTTGTCGTCAGCTGTAATGACTATTATTAGGTACACGGTAGTCATCCTATTTCCTACTTAAATTGTAAAAGTAGCCTAAGTTACTCCTTAGTGCCTTCATCAGCTACCTTCTAATACAAAGTTCCGTCAAAATCGGTCCGGCCATTTCAGAGATTAGCCAAAACAAATAGACAAACAAAAGTTTAAAAAATTGTTTTTTTAGTGTATGTATCATATGAATATTGGAGTATGCATATACATATGCAAAAGTTTATGAAAATATAATATTAATATAGTTAATATATGTAGTTACTCTTTCAAGAAAAAAACTACTCGATGGATTTGGATAAAATTAAGTACAGACATAGATGTCTCGGGCTCGAGAACGCGAGCAAAACTACTTGTAGAATGGCAGGTTAAATGTATGTAGTTATCAATAGATACACTACATAAATAAATATTAAAAAAAATTTTTTTGCTACATTTATTTCAAAATATCTTTCTACTATTTTACGGACTTTTAAACTTTTGCTATTTTTATTTTACACGAAGTTTTGCTTCGTGCAGGAATTGAACCCGCGTGGTTGCGCGGCAGCCGATTGCCAAGACACCGCACCGCGCCAACGCAACGGTGCAGTCAAGACCATGACTTTTGATCAAAAGCATGAGGTATTTAGTTTTTAACTTCATTGTGTACTAGTACTAGCGCAATTTTAATCGCTGCGCGTCTCTTATTGGTTGCAGTGTGATATATTGTAGTCTTCGAAGATAAATGAACAATTCAACACAAAAAGATTATTTTAAATTGATCTAGTATTCTCTAAGATTAGAGCGTTCAAAAAAACAAACGTACTCTTCAGCTTTATATATGTATATTAATACCTATACTAACTACTTCCGCGCGATTTCACCCACTCTTTTTGGCTCCTGTTGATCGTAGCGTGATGATTTATATCATATAGCCTTTTTCAATAAATGGACTATCCAACATCTTAAGAATTTCTCGAATCGGACCAGTAGATCCAAGGATAGGTGCGTTCAAACAAACAAACTCTTCAGCTATGTATAATAGTATTAAATATAATATAAAATAAGGATAGTATGATAAGTATTTAAGTATGTAGATTCTTTTCGAAGAATTATATATGTATTTAAATAGCCTTAATATACTTATTCAACCAAGTAATAACTCGTAAGTATTATGAACTTCTGCGTCTACGATCTTTTTTTCTAATCTTGAAACAAATGAAGTAAAATGTAAAATATTTAAAGTGTACCTATCTCTTTATAGTAACTGTGTTAATTAATGTTTCATTTATTGAGTACTTTTTTTTTTTTTTTAAGGGGGGAAAATCATCGAATGTCTGCTCCCGCCTGGGTGAGGCGGGAGGGAGTGTCAGACTCTTACTGACTAAAAACAACCCCGTTCCTTCTCCTGCACGTCGAGCCGGAGCCCCGGTTACCCGTTAGGTTCTCCGCGACTCCGAATCGGCATCGACCCTATTGGGCCCCATCTGTGGTGGTCTGATGGCTCTTTGAGGCGCGCGCGGAACGCGACGCGCCGTACGCTCGGGTCTGTTTCTGGTCGGACGGGGAGCCACCCATGCTCGCCGTCCGCAGGCCCGCGCTTACGGTGGCCGGAGATCGTCCCGCGATCCCCGACGCCCGGTGTGTCCTTCGCGATGGCTGGGTTGCGAGGAGGCAGCGCTTCGCTGCCTCACGCGTCCCGCCTCCTCCTTAGCTAGCATGACTGCTTCGCAAAAGGAGGAGACGGCATCCCAATCCCCCTCGCTCCGCATCATGGCCTGCACTAGGCCCGGACGCGAGAGGTCGCCATCGCCGATCACTTCCCTGAGGACACGGCGGTGCTCAGCCCACGCAGGGCATTCCGCCACCGTGTGTTCCACCGTGTCCTCAGGGCGGTCCTCGCAGTGATGACACTCGGGCGTTTCCTCCCGCCCCATCAGACACAGGTACCTCCCGAAACTGCCATGTCCGGTGAGGACCTGCATCAGGCGGTAGGTGAGGACGCCGTAGCGTCTCTCAAGCCACTCCTCAAAGAGGGGACTTACCGCTGCGATGGCAGCGAGCCCAATTTATTGAGTACTAGCTGTTACCCGCGACTTCGTCCGCGTGGAATAGTATCTTTGGGTGTATTTTTGAATCATTAGTAGGTATATTTAAAAAATAAAAATTTATTGTTCTCTTATAAATGTCCAAGAGACACTTACTGGGGCCAGCGTCACGTTGTGTACAAAAATATTTTTAAAAAACCTAATTTAAAACATTTTTATACACAACGTTTGCTGTTTTATTGTTGTTAGATAAAATGTGGAGATTTTTGGGATTTGATACACGTGAGCAGGCCACGTAGAGTTGCCCATGCGAAAAACAGTTCTTTTCTAAATTTACACCCGCCACTTTCAGTGTTTGGCCTTGCGCTTTGTTAATGGTCATTGCGAAGGCTGGCTTGAGGGGAAACTGGATTCTTTTGAACTGAAAAGGTAAATCTGTAGGGATCATGGGTATGCGAGGAATCAAAACTTCTTCATCTTTAGCTATTCCTGTCATTATAATTGCTCTAATAATATTGCGTCCTAGCTGCGTAATTTGCAATCGAATTCCGTTGCATAGTCTCGGTGCTTCGAGGTTTCTCATTAACAAAACTGGAACCCCAACTTTCAGTCTCAGCTTCTGAGACGGCACTCCTGATAGCTCTAAAGAGTTAAGAAACTCTGTAGGATAAGATGCTCACTGTCCATGATAATATCTACTGATAAATATTCGACAACATCGCCTTGCACATGTGACATCATTCGTTCATTTATCTGTCCCACGATTTCATTGGTCGGTGCTAATATAGCCCTTTCACACAACCACTCTCTATTCCTCATGTTATATTCCAAACCGGGATATACGTTGTTTTTAAAAAATGAATCTAACCAAAACAGATGTACAGATTGAGATTTACTATCATAAAAAATCTTTACTAAGCAGCTACGTAGTGAAAGTAGTTTTATACCTACTACGACTTATAATTAGATTAATTAAAAAAAAGGAATTAAAAGTAAATCTTTTTTTTTCAAGTAACGGAAATTATATTACCTTCTTTTAACTATGAACTAAAATATCCCGAAATATTAAGTATGTACAAAATTAATTTTTAGAACCTTACCTACTAATAAAAAATAGGAACTAAAAAAATTATGCGAAGCAATCAAATATTTTTACTCTATTGCAAAATGAATTTCTCTGTAGCGCAAATTTCTCTAATCGCATGCGTCCGGCAACGACGTCTGCCCTCACGTGTCTGCCCGTTCGGGTAGGCATAGTTAGATTCGTGCCGTGCGCTACCCCACCACACGACCGCCCCCCGCGCTCGCCCCACTTCGGCGAATGTGCGCGACGATGACCGATGACCGACGGCAGGCGGCGGCGATGAATAAGTATTCGTAACTTCAAAAGTCGATTTTTTTATTGATACAAAACAAAAGTTACAATTTCTGGAATTCCTTTGGTACCTACTTATATAAAAACTTTGCACATCCTAAGAGACCTATGTACCAAGTTACATGGTTTTATCTCCAAAAATGACGAACACCCACATGCAACCCCTATTTCACCCCCACGCTGGTGTAAATTTTAAAATTTTTGTTTATTATTTAGTGCCTAAATATAAAATGTAAGGTATCTTCAAGAATGACGAACTTCATACAAACTTTCAACCCCTATTTCATCCCCTAACAGGTCGAAATTTCAAAAACGCTAGAACAAATGTTTTATTATTTTTTATCAAGTGCTTAAATATAAAGTTTCATGGTTTTATCTTTAAAAATTATGAAATCCTATACAACTCCCCCCCCCCTTTAAACCCCTTACAACCCCTTTTTCGCGATAAAAAGTAGCCTATGTTTTATCTCGGGGTCTAGAATATCTGTATACCAAATTTCATTCAAATCCGTTCAGCAGTTTTGGCGTGAAAAAGTAGCAGACAGACAGACAGACAGAGTTACTTTCGCATTTATAAACAGACAATTTGATTTGTACACTTACTTTGTCTTTGAAAGGCGTTTACGTTGGTGCAACTGTACACTAACGCGTAACTGGTGTAGTCTGTAGCCAGTATATAGACTATGGTATCTGCGCTTTCTGAAATCATAATAAGTACAACGTACATTTACCAATTATTTTCACGATATTTTGTAGTTTACTCTAGTAAAGCTATTTTGGTAGGTAGTTCTTTTCAATGGATTTTAGTTAACTATTTTCTAAATTAAATAAATAGAAACGTTACTGTTTTCTACCAAACTCATCCAACAATATCAATATATTATTATTAATTTATTCACCTGGCCCAACTTTAGAACTATTGCTTACCTTCTGAGCTCGCAACTGGCAAGGTTATAGTTATTTGACCGGAGTTATCAGTAGAATTGATTCTGCCTGTTCTTTCATTAATCGATAATTCCCCATCGACCACTTCGTATAAAATAATGTTGATGCTGTCGGATTCTGGAGTAAATCTCCCACCAACACAAGTGGTTGTTACAGGGTCGTATCTTTTAATCTGGTACCAGTTTCCTTGGAACTATAAAAACGAATATCATAAAGATGAGTCAGTGAAGTTAATAAAGTAAAATATGCAGTCGGGATGAAGTGAAGTGCACTAATGAGAACTAAAGTCTATTATTCGATAGATTATTTACAATAATATCAAGTCCTTGTACATTTAGTTTCCTACAACTACTAAAAATATGAGTCAAAACGATTTCATATTTAATTTTGGATGTACGATGCCAAAGAGTGGTGAAAAACTCCTGCGACATTTGTATGAGTAAAAGAACAACCAGAGCCACCTTAAAAGTACATATATTTACTAAGGTGTGACGTACCGAGCTTCCACTTCTATTATTTATTTATTCATAAACCAATTAACATTTATGTCGAATACGGTTTTGATAACGGAACAAAAATTAAAAAAAAACAATAATCACATAAAAATCAATAAAGTCAAATAAAAACAATATAATTCAATTAAAATAAAACACAATCAAATATACATAAATTAAACACTTCATTCAACTTACTAGTAATTTCAACCAATATACGAGAAATTTAATTAGATGTCAACAAATTATTAATATGTACTGTATTATGATGGAATGAATGAGATTGGAATAATAAATTTAAAATAACTCACTAGTATAATCTCAATTTTAATTTTAACTATGATTTTCTTTCAGAAACTCCTCAATGTAATAACATTTCCCCGAACAATGTCTTTAATTTTCTTTTAAATTCATTTGGATTAGTGGAGTTTTTAAATTGTACAGGCAGCTTATTGTAGATATTTACTGATAGCACTCCTGAAGCATTTTTACGAAATTAAGTTTAGGCTGTATGGAATTCGATAGGTCCTTTCTTCGAGTATTTACTCTAATATGTCTCTGTTTCTCAGTTTTGAACTTATAGATATTTTTAATGAAATGACTAAGCAACACCAAGATATAAAGGCATGGTAGTGTATGAATTTGCAGTTTTTTAAAATGATTTCTGCAAGACTCGGTTTGTTCTATGCGAATCATCTTTTCTCTCTGTTCCGCATAACGAAAGCAGCATTTAATGTTATATTGGTAACTGTTACCCCAGATCTTTATGCTATATCGAAGTCTAGACTATTTATTTTGCACTTTGCAAAATAAACCATTCTGAGGTGAGAAATAGTGAATTAATTCCTTAGACTGCTAAGAGCATAACAAGCACCACTCATAGTGTTTGTGACCACGTCCAATTCCCTCTTCCAATTTAAAAGTAGATCTATCTGTACCCCCAAAAATTTTACATTGTCTACAATATCTACCTGATTGCTTAATATATGTACTTTGACGGTATCCTTCTTTACAGTTGATTTGAATAATACCCATTGCGTCTTTTTAAATTTAGTTTTAGGTTATTCACAGTGAACGACTTTTCAAGAGCACATACGATAAAGTTTTTTTTTTCTAAATGTTTGTGTATTGTAATGTCGGTCAAGTGACAATATAAAATCGACTTCAAATACCATAAACTAAAAAACAAAAAATATTTTTTATTCATTATACTCAGTATATACCCACAGCATCGACTGAAAATCGCTTACCACCAGGCGAGATAGTAGTATAGTGATAAGTGGCGAGATAAACGTCGACCCATCAAATATAAAAATATATTAAAAAGCCGGTGCCACAAGTCCTGAACAGTACCGCTAAGCAATAATTTGGCAGCTATTTCGCGTCTCGGTATAAACGATGTACAAACAAAAAAAATATATAGGTACCAGCCTTCTCCATTTTGGGGAGTCGATTCATTTTATTCTTCTATAAAATCGTTGCCCCAAACTATAATTTTCTCCTGTGTCGTAAGCGCGTTTACAAAGATACAAGTTCACATACACCTGACACCTAGACCCAAAACACAAAGAGTTGCTCCGTCGGGAATCGAACCCGCTACACGTTTCGCGGCAGCCGGTTACCCAGCTACCGCACCAACCGTGCAGTCATACCTATAATATACAGTCAAATAAAACTTTAGAGATGGTAGTTGTGCAAGCGCACTACTAATTATAAATATTAATACGCAATCTTATTCAATCAAAACCTGATTCTCGTCGAAATATGGAATTCCAGAAATGGTCTGGTCACACTGGCCAGGTATGATAATATCATCATTTAGAGCAATGTTGGGATATTGGAAACACGTTTCAACACTTTGTTCCGTGGTTTGGTAATAGTCTTCGAGGAGACCTTGAGTTCTGCTAACCACTGCATCAATAGCAGCATTGTCTTGAGCACTCAGTGTTCCGGTTCTACTTAGTTTCCAGCTGCCAACTGGAATTAAATGGTTTGAGAGTGAAACTTTAATAATTTAATTGTTATCAGAGATGTTAATAACTAATACACAACGTTTACCCACCTCGTCGTTTGCTTCCGTTGTCTACATCGACGCAGCTGTATAAAAGTGCATAACTGAGGTAGTCCGTTGACAATACGTAGTAGTTAGATCGCCTGATCTCTGCAAAAACGTATATAAAAGTTAAGATAAAATACGATAAATCTATTTTGGTATAATTGCAATAAAACATTGTATTACATCACTTGGTAAGCTAAAACAACTGCATTTTATATAGTTTTGTTTTTGTTGGCGCATATGTCCGAAAGTTACTCTATGTTGGTGAAATCAAACTCTTTCGGTTATTGGGTTCCCTTCCTGAAACTGAACAAAACTTGAATATCAACTTGCGCTTGATAATTTATTTACGATAAGTGCCTATGTCATGCAAAACGTGTGCAGAACATATTATTGTCATATTTACTTGCTATTGTGTAATGCGAACGTTAACCAAATTTACGTGAATTCATTCGCAATGGATAACGTTAGATATTTTATTTCCAAACACTCGCATCAATTTTCTATTGGTTCACAAATTAATATTGGTATTGGTATTGAGTTTCTTTACCAACAGTAACTAACCAGAACTAATATTCTTGCTTGCAACAGTCAGAATATAGCTGTGATAAATATCGTGAGATAGGTAGTAGTGTAGGCACTACACACTCGGCTACATAATGGGCTTACTTACCGTTATTGACATTAAAAGAAACTATGAACTCCCCAGTTCCATCATCGCGTGCGACAATGGCTGTTCCTTCTATCGTGGTCATTTCTCCATTTATAATTTGACTGTTCATCACAGAAACGACGCCGACAGCAATTGGGGTATAACTAGCACGGTTACACTGTCCAGCTTGTGTCGGCTGTGGGTATCTAGCGGCTTCTATCCACGTGCCTTTGTACTAGAAATAAAATGAAATATTATGTATATTATGTTTAGACACCACTGACAAACGACGAAGGAAAACATCTTGAGGAAACCTGGGCTTATAATTTCTAACTAAAATTTTGAAATCGCCAACCTGCATTGAGCAAGCACGGGGATTAATGTTCACTACACACACAATCAAACCTTAATAATATTTGGATTTATCACTTAGACTGTAACATACATACATATAATAGAATTCATTTATTATGACTCCGCCTATATTGACCAACTACGAAGGTTGGTTTTCATATAAAAAAACTTTACAAGTGTTCGATATAATGACTTCCCTTACAGTGACATGTCGCTTATTATAACCCATCAATCAATACATACATACCTATAATAAAATTGTAAAAGGTCGGTGCCTGTACATGGAAGATAAATAAGAAAAACTTTGTATACCCTGTGATATAGAACTCAAAACAATGATTTTTAGAATTTCTGTCTGTTTATCTGTACGTTTGTTCGGGCTAATCACACTGCTTTTTCACTATTGCGTTGCGGTTTGCTGGGATTAACATTTAGTCTTTGTTTTGTTAAATCGGTTCACAAATAAAAAAGTTTTGTCAATCTAAAGAATTCCATCATCACATCAATCAGTCAAATCATTAAAACTCAAATGCTACAATATTGTATTTATCCTCATCGTAATAATTAATTTTATATTCAAGTTTGTTTTAACACCTACGAATTTCTTTTTGAATTACTCAAATCAGACATTCCATTCAAAAGATATTAAACTCAACAAAGCGCAACGGTATAAATTTCTTCGGAGTTTCCGTTTAATTTCGCTAGATGGCGTTGAACCGAATTTTCACAATGCTAAATCGTTTTCGTGAAAATAATGACCCTCCCAGGCATCTTTTCTTCATGCAGATTCTATTCCTGATGTTAAAAATGTTTGGTTCTCGATGCGTTTGTGATGTCGTTTAGTCAAAAACAAAAGTGGCCTTTTAAAGTAGTCTGTTAAATATTGCAATTATGAATCAAGGAATTTTATTGCAGTGTTTTGGTTAGTTTTTATGTGGTCAATATTGTCCAGTCTTTTTTTTTAAATTTGGAAAAATAACAAGGGTCATATATTAAGTCATACACTAGTTATAAAGGAAGCAGGTCCAGGCATGGTGCCTTTTACCAAATTTCAGGAAACTCAATGTCTGTTCATATTGCTCCTCCTTTTCATTAGTGAGCTTAACAATTGACCTTTGCAGTTCCATTTGTGCACAAAGATACTAATTTAACGGGTTTTTTTTGTTGGAAATCCGCAAGTTGAGAGCGGGGTCCAGCACCCTTGCGATTTTCAGTGCAGATGAATTTGCTTTTTTGGTGTCGAAACTGCCTTTCATTAGCGAATTTCTGACGGTTCTATGAGTCTTCCTAACCTATGAGAATAAGTTCCTAGGCAAACTAAACGCATGATTGATCTTGACATTTACATCACAGATGTCACATTCGCTAACAACCTCAAGCGCACGCTAAAAAAGGTCCATCACAGTACCACGAGATGAACTCCCCTTAGCCTCGTTTGAAGAACCATGTTTACCTCAATTGCGTTCAGTAAATCTTGAGAGGTACCAGTCACGAACAGTGCCATGCTATCATCAGATGACCTCAGGGTGGTAACCTTAGCTTTCCCTGGATCTATGTCATAACCCAGTATTTAACATCTCCATTAACATTCCTCCCGAGGAAATCATGTAGTTGTCATCAAGCCTAAACGGCTCTAGCTCCTTATACCACTTTCGCGTACCTTCCATGTTTTTCTTGTGATCCCTAATCTATCTTATTCGTGAATATTCCCAATCGTTCTGTACTATCTTATGTTATCATCTTGATGGCCATTAGAAAGTTGCCAACGCATGGCCACTGCACGGAACAACCTGGCTTGTTCTGAAGGTGGGGGCAATGAAAGCTTTTTTCTGGTCTTATCATCGAATAATAAATAATGCATCATTACAAAGGTGGATGGGTTGACGCATTCATTACATTTGGTTGCATCATATTATTATGAGGCTTGAAGTGATCTTTCCTCAGGCAGTTCCAGTGACCTCGAATTCATTTCAGCTATCATCTTTTTCTTTTCTGGTCCTATCGAAATGGTTGATTCGGGAACATGTTTGGCAAGTTCTAGGTGGAAGCTCTCTATGTTGTGGAGAAACATTCTGAGGATTGGATTTGCAGAAGCTATAGTCCTGCGATCTTTCTTCCCTCTCTCTCCATGCTTTATATAAGAGCAAAAGTATCTCGCTAAATCTAACATATTAAAAAAAAAAAAATCTAACATATAGATGAAAACAGCTTCTCGCCCTTCAATGATTTTGACCACAACTTTTGGTGTGTCCACCTCTACCTCCACATATTGCTTCTCGGAGCTGTTGTACTTTCTCGTTACAGCTGAGTCTTTTTTCATTTCTAGGATTTTTAGTTTTGATAGCCATTCAATATTATTAGAACAGGTGACATTAAGATTATCTTTGAAGAGTTTTATAATAGAATTATTATAAGCCACTAAGCTGGGGACGCTTCTCTTTAGTATTGCATCCCATGTCTGCCTTCCTTTGGTTAAGACTTTGGAGTTTTGGGACATCATTTTCTCCATTACCGAATTTAAAACGCTATCAATGATGCTCTGATGGTTCGTGACATATATTTGGATCATTTTATTGAACTCGCCCGGGTGCTTATTACTTGTGACTGAATCGAATGGATAATCTGAGTCATTAGTCCAGTGAAGTTGCTCAATCCTGATACCAAAGATATAGGGAGGGGTTTTATCTTCCTTTCGGTTGAAATCTCTAGTTCTATTGGCGGTCTCAGCAACTTTTGGTGCAGGGGTTTCATAACCCATAGGAGGTGGATTCGTATATAAGTATAAGACGCTTTTTTTATTCTATCATTTTTAGTGTAAAGCTACAAAGACCCGTTTTGCTACTTAGAGGTACATCACGTAGGTGCAAAGTTCTGATCAATACAAATTATACAAACCCAAACACAATGTAGTTAAGTGAAATGACGATAAATTGAAAACTTCATGTAGCTGCCATTTTGGATTTAGATTCTGACAGCGCCATCATTTTCACCACCCTCAAAAACCATGAAAACGACACCCATGATAAATTGAAAATTTCATGCAACGGCAAACATACATAAAAAAGAAACAATCATTCGAACGTAGTGCATCCTCCTTTTTTGAAGTCGGTAAAAACAAACTCGCGTTAGATCTAAATAATAAATTCCGAGCTACTAACATCGTTTTGTTCGCAGCTCGGGATTGGCCTACCTGCGTTTCGCCCTTCACACCCCGCCCGATTGCCCTGTCTAGACGTCTTCATTGGACGACTGTATAGACTGTGACAGAACTGACAGTACGGCCCTATTGAGAGAGAATTACGAATTTTCCCGAACGATCATTTGTTCTTTATTTCTACGTAGGTACATTCAGAAGTTTATTGCGTAGTGTTAAAGAGTATTTATTTTGAATATTAAAGCTATTTTCCGTAAAAAAAGTTATTTACGTTAATAAAGATAAAAGTCATTTTACTGAACGGAGATCGCGTGCCTATTCTTCTTGTTTTAAATATCAAGTAGTATCTTTATCTCTACTTCGGACTTCAAACCAATGACCAACAACCAACCAACCGAAACCAATTTTCCAACCAGCCGAAGACCTTTTACTACACACTCAAGAACTTTAAGTCTCCCAACTAAATTCAATCCGTAAAGGAAACACGGTCGAAGGTGATTTTCGGGCAGAAAATATTAACACCGCCATTCAGAAAATGACGGTTTGCATTTTTTCATTTTCATTAACACCATCTATCGGATAAGATTTCAACTTGATAGTTGAAATCTTAAAAATAGAACTAATGTTGATACATTAGTTCTATTTTTATTCTTAAGGTGTCGTTCCAAGTACTGCATTGCGTATTGTAATATTTGACTTCTAGAACTAACTAAATTAATCATATCTTCTGATAGAGTGAACCGATTTCGATGAAACAAAAACTAAGTTATACCTCAAATTGCGTAGACTTTTTGTTTATAAGCAATGTCTGCCTGCATTGGATTCGTAGATTTTACGTGGTGCGCGCACAAACAAACAAACAAACAGACAAACAGACAACAATTTCAAAAATGATGGAAATGGGTTCTGTTAGTTATCTTTTAACACGCTGGCTATTTTTTGTTGTCAATTTCTTCAATGTACAAAAATTACTTTTCTACACATTTATTATACGAATAGATAGAATATAAGTGACTTACAGCGGAGACGTTGAAGTCCGGAATACCTCTGATGCTGGTGTCGCAAGGGCCAGGCAGTTCGATGTATTGCTGTGGTTCATCAAATTTTGGATAGTGGAAGCACGATGCAAAACTTTGACGTGTGGGTTGATAATACTCTTTAAGTAGACCTTGGGTTTGGCTTATGACTTGATCAATTGCTTTAGTGGCCGCTGCGCTCAGAGTCCCTGTTCTACTCAGCACCCAACTACCGACTACAAACAGGTAATGCATATGTAGACGTTTCATCGCCGGAAACGAATTTACAAATAGTAGATACGTTGTCTTTAGGATTACCTCGTCGATTTCCGTTTCCTATATTCGAGCAGCTGTACACGAGAGCATATTCGTCATATTTAACTGCAAGAACGTAATAGTCTGATGCTTCATTTACTGAAATACAACAATTTCATTGTATAAAAATGTAAAATAAAGGACAGTGCGAAATAAATGTACTAAAACCTTTCGGTAATGGGCACTGTTCGGGTAAAATCCCTGTGGGATTACTTAGTTGTTTTTTGAAACTACAAAATTTATTCATTTTACCATAAATCTCACTTAGGTACTGTACTAAATCGATTCTGATGATATGTATTTGTTACAGCCGTAGAATATATCTTAGAAAAGACCGATTTAAACACCCAACTCCTGCCAGAAGTTATTATTCTTCGTGGGCGCAGTCGCGGGCAACAACTAGCTATTAATATACTTATGGTCAAATGCCATTTCAATCTGAAGTATCCTATAATATTTTTAGAACATCTTTATTGATGTTCTTTCTGCCTAATATAATATCCTAATGTTAGATACTAGAGGAGCTTGGTACTAAATTGTGACAGTCTTAAGTCGATCCCCATGGTTAAGCTATGCTTGCCGAGGTTACTCTTTGGATGGTTGGGAATTTTTAACTAAACTACTATTTTAGTAGGTACTCGTAGAAATAGTATAGATGTAAGTTATTTATTTACATTTTCTATATATTTTTATATATTTCCCGGTAACGTAAACATTTACTATAGCAATATTTTTTAATTTTGTTATAATTATGTAGGAACTGAGTTAAAGCAAACTGTTATTGTATTTATTTTCTAGCTAGTAAAAACCCGGAAAACTTCGTACCGCCTAATTTTTTTTTCTCACCTTTTAACTTTTCCTGGAATTCCACGAACATTTTAAGACCAAAATTAGAAAAATCGGTTTAGCAGTTCTCGAGTTTTAGCGGGACTAACGAACGGAAATACATTTTTATTTATATAGATTTATAGATTTATTAAGAGTTTTTTTTTAAAGAGGGAAAATCATCGAATGGATGCTCCCGCTTAGGCGAGGCGGGAGGAAGTGTCAGACTCTTACTGACTAAAAACCACCCCGTACCTTCTCCTGCACGTCGAGCCGGAGCCCCGGCAACCCGTTAGATTCTCCGCGACAGATTTATTAAGAGTAGATCTAGTAGACCTACTTTATACTGAAATAATTCTTTTATAAACTATTAGCTATCTTCCGCACGGTTTCACACGCTCTGCTCAGCTCCTATTGGTCGTAGCGTAATGTTTTAGCATATAGCCATCCTCGATAAATGCGCTATCCAACACAAAAAGAATTATTCAAATCAGATTTGTAGTTACGGAGATTAGCGCGTTCAAACTAACAAACAAACAAACTCTTCCGCTTTATATAATAATATACCGGTTTTGCATAAAACAAAACCGATATTATGTGCCGAGAGGGAAAACATACAGCATTGCTTTGAAGAAGCAGTCGTATACTTTCAGCTCCATCTATGATCGACGTTAGTAAACACGTAGTTTTCACCTAAAAGTAACTAGATGGCGTTAGGGTGCACCAGCAAGACGCGCCGGAGCGTTAGACTTCGAATGTCATAGTCTTCACCAGGAAGAACTTCCGGCAATGCTGTATGTTTTCCCTCTCGGCACATAATATCGGTTTTGTTTTATGCAAAACCGGTATATTGATGTGCCTCCGGAAAACATACAGCATTGCTTTGAAGACGTGTTTGTTATCTGCTGGTGAAATGTATGTGCATGTAACACAACGCTATTTTGATTGATTATTCAGTAAATAAGTAAAATGTTTTATGAAAATAAGCTATTTATTCATTAATTTAACACTAGCCTACAATCAAATACAATATGAGACATAATTATACTAACTATTAATAAATTAATAATAAGTGATTTATTGAAAAATTAACTCTGTAATCGTTAGATTATGCTGGTTTAAAAGTACCAAAGAATGAATTACGATTATTTTTTGGAAGTGCTATCTCACGACAGTAATGATTAAAAAATGTATTAGAAGATTTCCAATTACCCCGTGACAAAATCTCATCTATTGGTTGATTATCTGACCACCCCAGGGAAGCCACAGCCGATCTACAGCTTCCTGGGGGTGCCTGAATCCCACTATCTCTCAACACTGATCGTATCCAGTTCCCTATCACAGTGCGGGACGCTGCTTTAATATTTTTGTTTACAGTAATAAACAGACAATTTAAGCCATCAACTTCCAACCGTCTTGTTTTATTTTTGTCGTTTAAAAGTCTAATCAAAGTGACCGGGCATATGTTTTTATCACGATGTTTAGAAAACTTCCATGCAGATTGACGATAATTATGTGTATCAGTTTTAGAACCAAAAGCTGGTATTAAATACAGTTCTTCACCATTATCAAAGAAATGATCATTTGAAATTTTAAGTAAAGTTAAATCATGGACTCTGCGTCCCGAAGCTAATAATAAAACAGTAGCCGTTTTGCGAGCTAAATCAAATAAATTGTCTTTAGGCGGATTAATTGAAAGCCAGTCCAATACTATTTGTGGATCCCATGTAGACGATGGTTTAGTAACTTTAGGTTTAGCTACTCCTATTGCTTTAAGGGTATGTTTTATAATGAAATTGGATAAAGGTTGTTGCTCTACGTGAGGTCCACAGAAGGTTAAAACTGCTGATTTGTGTACAAGAATCGTGCTGTAGGATAAGTTTTCTTTTAAGAAGAGATACATTAAAAATTTTGCAACATCAGCTGATTGTGGAGATTTTGGGTCTACTTGTCGCGTAGAACACCATGAAAGCCATCTTTTAAGCGCTGGAATGTATGTGGACAGTGTAGAAGGTCTCCAGCTTTTCTTCAAAAGGTCTTTTTCTTGTAGCGACCATTCCTTTATGTGTGCACCCCACCCCCAATTTTCCAAACTTTCAGGGTTAATGTCTGAGCCTGTGGGGGAGGCTGTAATGTCGCGAAATCTATCATGTTCTCTGCTAGATTCTGAAGCACCAGTGGATGGTCCAAAGCTCTCGATTTCAGATCTTGAAGCCAGAACGCCCGGGGCCACTCTGGTGCCACAATCAGGTAAATCCCCGTGGCCTGGTTGAGATGGGCTAGGACTTTTGGTAGTAAGGTCGGTGGGGGGAACACCCAAGCCCGTCGATAACACCATGTTCTGCTGAAGGCATCTATATAACTTGCCGATTGATCTCTGCAGTCTAGCGATACATAATTTTGTACTACAGCAGTTTCTCGTGACGCAAATAGGTCGATCTCCGGTCGGCCCCACCTCCGAAAAACTTCCGCAGTTGCTCGGGGTAGAAGATGCCATTCTGCTGGATGTTTCCCGCGAGATAGTCTGTCTGCTATTATGTTGTACCTCCCTGGTACGTACTGTGCGGATAGGGTTATCTTGAACTTGTCGATTAGGTGTAAGAGCTCGAAGGTTAGGTTTAGTAAAGCTAACGATCTGGTCCCCCCTTCCTTCCGAATATAAGCAATCAAGGTCCTGTTGTCCGAAAGGACAAGTACGTGAGTTCTTTGCAACAACTTTGCATTTTCTTTGATTGCAGCCAAAACAGCGTACAGCTCTTTTTTGTTGCTGTGCCATTTTGTTTGTTGGGGCGACCATGTTCCTGATAATAACTTTCCGTCTATGTGGGCTCCCCATCCCAAATCCGAAGCGTCCGTCGCCAGGAAATGGGTAGCTGGCTCCTTGTGTATGGGCATACTGTGGCGTGTAGCTCCGCGCCACCACGTCATATTCTGGTATACCATTCGAGGAATGGGCTGTTTCTGGCGCGGTCGTTTCTTGTCGAAATGTCGCAGAAAAATCTGCATTTTTCGGCAATGTAGTCGGCCCCGTGGTATTACGAAATTCGCAAAATTCAGTTGACCTAGTAGGCACTGTAACTCTCGAAGACTGATGTAGTCTCTGTTTAACAATCGACTGAGCGCATTGTTTAAGTTTTGAATTCTTTTTATTGGCAGTGACATGATATTCTTGGCGGTCTGCCACCGAATGCCCAGATATTCCAGATCCTGTGTTGGTGTCAAAATTGACTTTTGGTGATTGACCTGCCAGCCCAGTTGTTCCAAGTGCCTCACGGCTTCCGCAGCCTGATGACATAACTTGGATTGGTCCTGATGGACCAAAAGGAAGTCGTCTAGATAGACTAGAACCCGACATCCCTTTGCACGCAAGGTCTCCGCGACCCAGCATGTTACGGCAGAAAAAAGGTGAGGCGCTGAGGCCAGACCAAACGGTAGGCATGACATTTCGTACAAATGATCTTTGTAACTGATCCTTAAAAATGGACGGTGGGATTTTGCAACTGGTAGGTGAAAATACGCCTGAGAGATGTCTATTTTTGTCATCCAATCCCCAGGTTGAAGGAAATCTGGTATTGAAGCATGAGAAATCAGACGAAAGTGTTTTGTCTTTACAAATTCGTTCAGTTCTCGAAGATCGAATATAGGGCGCATCGTTCCGTCGCTTTTCTTCCGAAGAAAAAGCTTGGAAACAAAACTCGGTGTTTTTGTGGTAACCGGTATCAGTACACCTTGATCTACAAGGTCTTTTATAATCAAAGACATTTCCCATGATGGTTTGGTTGCATATTGCGTTAAAATTTTTCTCGTAGGCATTAATAAGGGAGGTTTCTTGTAAAAGGGTATTCGAAACCCCGAGATTGCAGAAATGATGAAATCGTTTGCACCCAATGCTTGCCAATGATTCTTGAACATTTTTAGGCAACCCCCCCTGAATTGTGGTACTGCATAGTCATTTTTTGTTATCTTTGTTTCGAAAGGAAGAATTTTTAGATTTGTAACTGTCACTTTTTCCTTTGTATGGTTTTGTTTGCTTTCTGAGGGTATCACGAAAATGTTTGTTCTGTGGTTGTGATTTGTATTTTGATGTAGAAGGGGTTGCGTCTTTATTATATTTATTTTTAATTTGTTCCCTAACTATAGTTTTAGTGGCTGTTGGTGGTGAAATCCAAAAATGGGGCCCTCCGAGGGATTGGATCAAAGACATAAGCTTCGGTTTGTCAAATAAAAATTCTTCACTAGGGGGTATGTTACTAAGTGCAGCTTGAATACTTTTATCGGAAATTTCGTTTATTAGTCTTTTGCGCCTGGTTTCAATGCACTCAGCCCTCTTGCCGCAAATTATTTGTAACGTCTGCTCAGATAATTTGTAGGACTGTGATGTCGTCCCAAACGACTCCGTAATTTTGTTAAAAAGATTATCGGGTATTAATTCCGTAGGATTGCCGTGTGCCCAATCAATTATCCCTTGTAAGCCGGACTGTAACAGTTCTCTTTGTTGCAATAAGGCGTTGGTGGTGGCAGCCATAATTTCTTCTGTTGAAGCTAAGAAATCTTTTCCTTTACTCAAACAACACATTTCATCGTTAATTTTTAAATTACAGAATCCTGGAAAAGCGAGTAAATCTGCCAACGCCTTCTTGTAACGAATATGATGCCACGCAGGCATATTAAATTGTTGCAGGTTTATTAACTGACGCAATAATTTGTCATTTGCGGGTTTGAGCACTTTTTTCTCGTCAAAAACAGTCTTACAAAGGCCTAGGTCTAAAGATTTTGGCGTTAGCGTCGACGGATTACACAAAAAATCGTTTTTCGTATTATCGGGTAGTTTATCCTCATTTTCACTAGAGTTTTCACTCGTAGTGGGCACACATTGTTGGTGCATAATAAAGTTTGTAAGAAAACATACCTGGTTGTATAACGCGTCGATCCGAGGATCGACCGTTACCTCAGTTTGTCGCTTCCGTTTTTTGCGAGGCGGTTCCTTTTCGCTTTCTGATGAACTGCTGTCTTCAGAGGTGTCCTGCTCTTCTTGATCCGGGTCCCTCTCGTTCACCGGCGAGCCCGACACGACCGGTCGGTTGGCAACGGAAGCCTCCTCGACCTCGATGTCGTTAACCGACGCGGTATTCATTGCAAATATCGAAAAATTTAAACTTAAGTTAATTTAGGAGTTTAGACTCACTTAAGAAGGTTTTTAAAATATTTTTATATTCAAAGTACTTTTGCACAAAGATTTACAGTTAAGTTGTAATATCGACCGAACACGGCGAAAGTACACAACGCTATGACATTCGAAGTCTAACGCTCCGGCGCGTCTTGCTGGTGCACCCTAACGCCATCTAGTTACTTTTAGGTGAAAACTACGTGTTTACTAACGTCGATCATAGATGGAGCTGAAAGTATACGACTGCTTCTTCAAAGCAATGCTGTATGTTTTCCGGAGGCACATCAATATAAGAATATAAGAAATATAAGATTTAAAAACCAGATTTCAAACCCTCCTTTTCTGAAGTCCTTAATTAAAATATTCTAACACCTTCTCCTAAATGTATGATAGCGCGTTAATTAATTACGATTAAATAATTTGAGATTTTTAAATTTAAGTATCGAAATTTACCCACAATTATTTTTAATAATATTTGTTTATGCATAATATTTGTTTATAATATAATCTTGCTATTAATTTAATTAAAACGTTGTAATTTAAATTAAAATAACATTAAATATTGTAACATTAAAATAACAACACGTACAACTTGCATCAATGTAATATTAAATTTGCTCTTGTTTACAACCTTACGTCACTTACCTTACGTAGGTAGGTAAGGTGGGGAGAGTGGGGACTGTTTATAAAGCAAGCAAGTTGTACGAGTTTGGGCATTCTCGTATCGAACACGAACGTGTAAAGATCAAATAAAATATTTATAAAAAAATGAGTCACCGTTTTAATGGAGCTTTGCGAAATACGCAAACCACCTCACCCTTGAGAAAACCTCATTTGGAGTCACCACCTCCATTTTTGATGGTTCAGCTCTTACATGTATATACATACATACACATATACACATACGTAGATACATGCAGGTCAAACTGACAACCTCCTTTTTTTGAAGTCGGTTAAAAACAAGCATTTATCATCAAGTGCATTCATTAAAAATTTGAAATGACTTACCATTACTAAAAGTAACTTCCAACTTTCCTGTTCCATCCTTGCTAGCAACAGCCTGTCCTGATATCGTCCCTAGTCCTTCATTAACAACTTGACTATTCAATACGGAGATGGTGCCATCAGGAAGTAACTCGTATTTAGCACGGTTACACTCACCATTTTGTGTTGGCTGCGGGTATCTAGAAAGTTCTATCCATTCACCCGTGTACTGGCGATAGAATAAAATATTACAATCCCGTGAAATGTCTTTTTTTTTTAAGTGGTGAAAATCATCGAATGACTGCTCCCACCTGGGTGAGGCGGGAGGGAGTATCAGACTTTTACTGACTAAAAACCACCCCGTTCCTTCTCCTGCACGTCGAGTCGGGGCCCCGGTTACCCGTTAGGTTCTCCGCGATACGTGAAATGTCTATGTAGGTATGGTAGAGTATTATCTTTGGATTCTTTTCTAAATATTCATTTTTGATACTTCAATGATAAACAACGATTATGTTTTTATTGTTACGTTACATAATAATTATTAAAAAACAAGATATTCACTTTCTCCACATCGAAATCCGCAACTCCTTTAATTCTGGTGTCACAATCTCCAGTCAGCTCGACGTATTCCCATGTTGGATCAAACTCTGGATAATAGAAACAAGCGTCGGGTTCTTGGCTTGTAAGCTGATAGTAATCGTTATGGAGACCTTGGGTCCTGCTTACGACTGCATCAATCTCAAACTGGTCCTCTAAGTTCAGTGTTCCTGTTTTGCTAAGCACCCAACTGCCGACTAAAGAAATGATAGCATTAAGTAGGTAACTTGTTTAGAAAACAAAATAAATATTTTTTTACCTCGTCTGTTTCCATTTTGTAAAGTATCGCAGGTGTATACAAGAGCATAAGTTTCGTAGTTGGTAGCAAGGACGTAAAATTCTGACGGTCTTTTCTCTGAAACAATTAATTTTACATTACTTACAATTTGTTTATATTCAGAAACGGTGTATCTATCTAAAATAGGATTTCATTGAGTCGTGAAAACTGGCGGCTTGTAAACTTTTTTCTTCCTTTCATTGATGATGGAATTAAGAGATGATGGATGTTGAATTGCTGATTTAACTTTAGATTGCCTATTAATAAAAGTATATAACAGTCAGGTTAGACTCTTTAGATTTGTCCATTTCTTTTGACGAAGTGGATATACAATAGTCTATTCTCCAGATATTTGTTTTTTTTTAATGTTCGTGTAATATCTGATTATCTAGTATAATTTTTATTTCAGCAAAATATGACCGCTTCATGCCGAAAAAATAAATATAACAATTTTGTTGTAAAATATACGCGCCAAAACACGAACCGCCATTTTAGTGACATCGAAAATATTGAAACGTCAAATGGCCAAGCCATAGATTTTGTAAACAAGTTGGTTGCGTTGTGATTTTGTTGTATTTATAAAAAAAAGATGAGTTTTAATAACCCGTATGGTTGGTGTGTTGCGTTAAATTGCAAGAATTCTACATTAAATTCTATTTATTTTATTATACACAAAAAGTAGTTAACATTTAACTTGACAAGAATGCTATTGTTTACTATAAAATATTTTGATACTTCAGACGTCACTCTTGAGAAAATCATGGCGGACGAAGTTTTTGGTCACGTGACATACAGATAATAAAACTTTGATTTTAACTTTGAAATTTAAAATTAATGCTATGTTTTTATGGAATCACAACATGTTTTTTTAATTTCTCACGTTTTAAACTATACAAATAACATAATGTTATAATTTATTGTTGATATATGAGAATACCCTATTGTATGCATCTATTTGGTTTTCAGTGCTGAATTTAGGTATTTGTTTTAAGTTTTATTTACATCCTATTTACTTTAGAGACCAATATTTACGTAAAAGAGGAATAAAAACAAATATGTGTAAATAAATACCTTTACATATCTATCCATCTTATATATCTATCTATACATATAATAAATTCGTAGGGGGTGTTACTATTGACAGACACGGAACTCAAAATTTTCATTAAAATATTTTTTGTCTGTATGTTCACGCATCACGATTACGATGAAGCTTGGTATGATTATATTTTAGTAACCTGGATACCACACTGAGTAGGCACTTTACCCCGAAAAAATATATACAAGAAAAACTTAATTGTGCGGCTCAATCTTTAGACACAGTTACTGTACCAAACGCAAATACAATTACCTACGCTGTAACAGTATGACCGATGGTTGAAATTAGCTTGAACCGCTAATAGATGTCAAAATGTGTGAGTTTGTGTGTGCCAATGTTTGTTACGCAGTCACATCAAAACGGCTGAAGGGACCGGGATGAAATTTAGAACAGAGGTAGATTATGGTTTGGAATAATACATACGCTACATTTAACCCTTGATAACGCGGGCGAAGCCGCTGGCAGAGGCTAGTACATAATAATATCAATTTTACTAAGTGACTCCTAAATGTTTTCAGAGTTCTAATTTTCTTATTCTTGAAGAGTTCTATTATAATAATAATAATAATAATAGCCTTTATTTAACAATCTTTCTTACAATTGTAGTAACAATTATCTTATTTAATTATTTGACACCGGTACATGAAGATTGAGTTCTATTACTAAGCTCCAAACCAAATACATTCATCAGATTCCAATACTGAAACTGGAGGTACTCTGTGGTTTTTTTTTAATTACGGCACTGACATACGCTCTATGTAAACGTCTCGTGAGGAAACCTGCCTTACAATTTTAAATTATAAGTCTTGAGCTCGAGATAGATACAGGTTAATGGTGGTGAGGCATAGGTTGAAAATTAATTGAGTTATTACAGCTCAAGATAATGAAGTCCAGGGCTATTTAAAATTCTAAAAGTTATACTAAACTTATACTTATTATTTAGGGTCGAGTAGAATTTATAGTCGAGCGTTTTTTCTTGTGTCTATGATATCAATACATGTACATATGCATCGTATGTATATCTAGGGTGTTATATGTAGGTGTATGAATTTGTATATTTGTAATATATCTACGACACACGAAAGAATAAATATTTAAAATCTCACAAACCGTTGAAATAACTAACTATGTAGTGAAACGAATTAAAAAAAAGGAGAGTGGTTATATTTGTCTATTACCTTCTAAAGTTTACTACCTATGATACGGATAGTACCTATTTAACGTAAAACGAGGTAGTTATTTAAAACAATTAAATTGCTTACCGCCATTGATATTGAAAGTAACTTGCAGCTTTCCAGTTCCATCTGTGCTGGCAAGAACTGCCTGTCCCGATATCGTTACAAGTCTTTGGTTCACAACTTGGCGGTTTGTTACTGAGACGGTGTGATCAGGAAGTAACTCGTATTTAGCACGGTTACAATGACCTGTTTGTGTTGGATGTGGGTATCTAGCGAGTTCTATCCATTCTCCCGTGTACTGCAATAGAATGAAATATTACATTCACGTGAAATTTATATGTAATAACTGTGTAATCTTTTCTTTTGATTTTCCAAATGCGAATTTTTGATGATTAATGAACATCGAGTATTCAATAATGTGTATGTTCTTACGTAGTAATGTAATTAAAAAGAAAATATTTACTCTCTGCAAATCGAATTGCTCCTTTCCTTTGATTCTATTATCACAAGCTTCTGGAAGCTCGACGTATTCCCATGTTTTATCAAAATCGGGGTAGTAATAACAGTCGTCTGGTTTCTGGCTTGTGGGCTGGTAGTTATGTTCATCTAGACCTTCAGAATTGTACAACTCAAAGATTTTACTAATCTCTTCACGGTTCTCTGGGCTCAGTAGTCCTGTTCTGCTAAGCATCCAACTACCGACTTAAATTAAAGATAGCGTAAGTAGACATTTCGTCGCAAGTAACAAAGCACAAATAGTAGACAACTTGTATTTGGTATTACCTCGTCGTATTCCATGTTCTACATTTTCGCAGCTGTACACAAGAGCATATTCTTTGTAGTCGGTCGCAAGGACGTAAAAGTCCACGGTGTTATCTGAAACAAATGTTGTTTGTAGTACTTGTACTTACCTAACAATACATTGATATACAGATTATATAGAAAGTTTTGTATATACATACATATTATATTATTTAGGATCTTTTACAATAAAGTCATGTTAGTTACGCTATTAATAACTCAAGAACAGTTAAATCTATTTGACTGAAAATTGATGGGGAGGGAGTGAGAAATACCTTTTTTATCAAGAGATTTCCCAGAAATCCTACGGAAACGGGAACAACCGGGATTGGGATTACGAAGTTTTGGGTGAAGCTAGTTTATATATATATACAATTATTAGGATAGAAATGCATATTATATCAAAATCATTTTTTATTCCGTTTTTTATATTAGTTTCCTAAGTTAGTAACAATTACTTTTAAAAAAATACATTCCATTAGGATTTTCTCATGTATGGTGGGGCGTTTACAAACATCATCATCATCATCAACAGCTTATAAATGCCCACTGCTGAGCAAAGCCTCTTCTCACACGGAGAAGGTTAGAGCGTTAATCACCACGCTTGCTCAATGCGGGTTGGCGATTTCAAACTTATAATTAGAATTTATAAGTCCAGGTTTCCTCACGATGTTTTTCCTTCACCGTTTGTCAGTGGTGTCTAAATAATCTTAGAAAGTACATATAACTCGGAAAAAGTCACATTGGTACTTGCCGTTGGTAGGTTTCAAACCCGCACCCTCATGCATGAGAAGTGGGCGTCTTAAACCTCCGGGCCACCACGACATCACTAACAAACATACAATTTCATAATTATACACAATTATAACACCCATAAACGAAATAACAATTAGTGGAGAACACACAGAATTGTTCCATACCTACGTTATAATCACGTTGCGCGGCAGCCGCCGTTTGTCGAGCCACTGCACCAACCGTGTCAATATTATGTATTTCGTCTTATCGATACAAAACTTCGCCATAATTTAGGAATTATGACGAATTTTACAAAAGTTTATTTGTGAAAAGGGATTTTTTTAAAAAAATAATGACTTACTGTTGATGGTAACTTGCAATTTTCCGGTTCCATCGTTGCTAACAACAGCCTGTCCTGATATCGTTTGCAGTTTTCCGTCAGTAACTTGTCGGTTTGTTACTGAGATAACGCCACCAGGAAGTACCCCAGCAGTGTATATAGCACGGTTACACTGACCAGTCTGTGCTGTCTGTGGGTATCTAGCTACTTCTTGCCATTCTCCCAAATACTGGAATGAATTAAATATTTAATAAAGAAGATCCTGATGATTGCTTGTCACTATTTGGGGTTTACTGCAATACCAAACCTTGCCACCATCACCATCCGGTAACTTGTTAAAGCCAGCCTTATAGTACAGCTGCAAATCGTCAGCACACATATAATACGCACACCGACGATCAGAGGTGATGAGATTAATAAAGATAGAAAACACGAAAGGTGATAGTATATCACCATCCTTGACCGACTGCTGACATTCCTAAGAAGACAATCATTACATTGATTCGCCAGAGGCAAGTTGGTTAGGATGGCTAGTACTTTTCAATCTAGTTTCAGGGGTTTGAAGGTAGATTGATACATACTTTGAGCACTTTGGACAGGAGGTGAAGTATAGATATTAGACGGAATTAGGAGGGAAGGAAAGAGTGGACGTAGAGACCTTTTGGAGTGAATGGACGAAGGCTCTACACCAAAAGGAAGGAAATGTTTCGAAATAAAGGGAAAAAATTATGACATGGCTAATTTATAGCTGGTACGATTTGATAAAATAGTGACAATCATGTTTGTTATGAGAAATACTGTTACAACCTACTGCTTTAAACTTGATTGAAAGGTTAATTCCTTTCTACCTCTGAAGAAACAAGTGAAACGAAACATGAGGAGCTGTAATAGGACGCATCAGACCAGCAATGTGTTTTACTAGACGATCCATATAATAGGTATTGTGGCGAAATGGTAGTTAATAATCGTCTAAGCTAATTTAACAGGATAGGTCTGATGTTGCGTTTAACCCAATACCTACAGTTTCGAAGAATTTCCAGATATCGGCAGAAGATGAAAACCTGACAATGATTAACGTTACACACATTCTGCTTATTGTTTCTTACAATAACTAAAAACCAAAAGATTTTATGACTTGACGTTTATAAAGTAATGAAATAAACATTATTTGAATATAAAAAAAATATTGAACATACCATAACGTCCCTTTTATCCCAACAACAGGGTGCACATTACAGCACTCAATGCCACTGTATAATGTAACACTTTTCGCTATTTATGTTATGGATCCCACGTAATAGGCGGTGAGCTTATTGCCATATACCGGGTACAATTCCAGAATTAGTTTAAAAAAACCCAGTAACACCTTGCCCGACCCGGATATTGAACCCGAACAGTCGCACTTGCAACTACTCGGTCAAAGAGACATTTCATAATTAAAATATTATGGTGACCCCAGTGGTATTTTTTAAACAGATAAGTAAATTCTAGCAAATATAAATAAGTTGTATTCTTAATTATTAAATCACATCGTGAGATTTCTCAGCTGAAAATGTGACTAATAATTACTAATTTTTGAAATAAGGTAAAGAAAAGAGGGTAAAAATTAATACTTTTAACAAAAAGTAATTAATATGCTTTAAGGATATATGAAAATACGTCAACACCAACTTTCGCAAATATAGGAATAAAAAAGATGAGATCATCTGTATCTTAAAAGAAATTGAAAGATACGCGAGATTCTATAAAGAACGATTAACTCATAATTCCAATGCTCTGGTGCAGTCATTAATGGTTAACTATAATAAAGCACAATGACTAAAACGTAACATACCACAAGAAAATATCCTAGCACAGTGAATAAACAGTTCTAAAGAAAAGGAGATGACAGGTCACATATCGAGAGCGCCAACTATAGCAACACCCGATATACAGTATCAAATGTGGTGGCAGATAGTAAAAAAAATAAAAAGATAATGAATATATAATTATGTGTCCCTGTCAATACCTTAAAAATAAGAAACTTACATCAAACATGTTGAAGTTGTCAACGCCTCTGATACTGGTGGTGTTACAATATCCATAGAGAAAGACATTTGCTAGATGTCTATATGTTTGGGATGTATGTTCATATTTGCTAGGTTCAAGAACGGAAATGTTGGCGATGAACTCATTCATTTCATTTTCATATTGCGGTTCTAATGAAGGCGTCCTGCTTAGTTTCCAACTGCCCACTGCAAATGTAATCAGTTGATTTATTTTTAATTGACTTCTCAAAAAGCAGGAGGTTGTTAATTCGTCTGTATGTTGTTCCTTTTTTTGTGTATATTACGCGATTACTCGTCTGTAGACGGATTTGAATAATTATTTTTTGTTGGCAATGTGATACTCTCGAGGTGATCCCATTTCCAATAGGTAATATCTTATGGTTAGATCCCGAGAAAACTGAGGGGAACTATTAAAAATTGGAGGGGCAACTAGTGCGCTTGTTAATTTTTTCATTAAGTATTAAAGGTTTGGACTCGATCTGATGATAGAGCCAAGTGACAGTCGAGTGAGCTCCTCGAGGACTTACGTTGAGACCTCGCGTTTGAGCTTGAATTTTTTGTATTGATGAGAACTTTAGAATCAGATAGAGTATTATCGTCATTGGGAGTTTGATGGTGAAGCAGTATGATAGGTAAGGAAACTCCTCAATGATTAACAGTAGGTACCTGGTCTTTGAGCTTGAATAATTTGTATTGATGAAAACTTTGTACCCATATGGGTCATACATATATATAATATCTTAGTAATAAATTAAAAAAGTATAAATAATCTGCGTTTAAAAAACCGACTTAGAAAACTAAATACTAAATAAAAACTAAAATCAAAATATTACTGTTATTGGTCATACGGACTTAAAGGTATCGTATCGTGTAATATTTATTCTCATTATATTAGTAATAATTATGAGAAATAATTATTTCTGATAATAAATTAATACTATTAACTGGACATATCGGTTCACTCACGTTAATATATTGAAACTACTCGTTTCAATAATCAATTTTAATCGTCCACGGACTCTTGGCCCGTGACCTTGTCATACAATGTATTAACTTTACTATTGTCAAGTCACTCTTTTTCATGTGCATTGTCTGGGCCGTCCGGTAAAATCGCCGCGTCCGTGGGCATAAAGCATTTTTAGTTATATTATATGTCTCTCGATAGTTGTTATAAAAATAGAATAATATTTAATTTAATTACATTGACTTCCTTCGTTTGGCAGGTCACTGCAGCTAAACAAAACTGCATAATGTTGAGTGAATGTCAAAACTCGAAGAATTGACTGTCTCGGCTCTGAAATGTAAGAATTTGTATGTTTAATGAGCATCCTTAAATTTATTTTATTCGTTATTATTAAGGATCGCCGACAAATGTTACCTACATTCACAACGTATGCTAAACAGAAACATTTAATAATAGCAACATTCACATTTTTTTAAACGTTGCCCAACAGTCGTGATTACTTCTGTGTTGTGAGTGCGTTTACAGACATACAATTTCACATACACTTTACACATGACACTCAGATCCGAAACAACAATTTGTGGATCACGTAAAGAATTGCTCCGTGCGGGAATTAAACCCGCTAACGTCAAACATTAAAAATCATTAATTATAAGCAAGAACAATTGAAAAATAACACATGCAAGAATAATAAAAACTACGTAATTCTAGGTACCGTATATAAAATGGCAAAGGAATACGTTCAAATTAAAATTAAATCTTATAAAGTTTGTTGTGATGGTCCGGGGGTTTAGAGAGTTTTTAGAGTTTACGCCCACTTCTCATATATGTGGGTATTAGTGCAAAACCTGCCAATATTTAGACACCACTGACAAACTGTGCATGAAAGCACCGTAAGGAAACTTGAACTTATAATTTCCAGTTATAAGTTTTAAATCGCCGACCCTAATGCTCAACCCTTCTCCTTGTGAGAAGAGGCCTCAGATCGGCAGTGGCCACTTATAAGCTGCTGTTCTCCTTAATTAGTATGGAGATACGGCGAATTTTGCCATTTTCTCCGAACCCCCTATAGCTATACCTATGTATACCTATACCTATACCTTTAGCCCTATAGCTTATTCTCAGCTCACCCCATTGTTATTATTGGACAGTGTACATTAGAGTTAGAGCTTGAGAATTTAGATTACTGTGCAACAACGAGTTACTGACACTTTATCAATTCAACTAGTTTGTCAAATTATACTGGGTTTAATAACTATGGTGCCGATGGAAAATCGTGTTATATAATCAACTTACGGCCGTCGACAGTGAATGTAACTGTAATTTGTCCAGTGCTGTCGGCTGTGGCTGATCCGGATACCGAAGTCCATCTTTCATTTACAATTTGCTTGTACACTACTGATATTTCACCATTTATATCCGGTGCCCCGTATTCGACACGGTTACACTGACCATTTTGTGTTGCTTGCGGGTATCTACCAAGTTCATGCCACGTTCCAGCAAACTGTTGATAAAATAAAGTAGAACCTCAAGAAGAGTCTCATGGAGTCATAGAAGAAAAGTTTGACAAAAGTGCAGTAATATGTACCTATGTACTCTGTTTTTATATATGTATTGTCCTTTGTGTTGTATGGGTGTACATAAATAATAAAGAAATAATTAAAAATTATGTGTCTTTCTACAGAACTACGTAATAAATTGCTCACCGTCTTTTTTTTAAGGGGGGAAAATCATCGAATGACTGCTCCCGACAGGGTGAGGTGGGAGGGAGTGTCAGACTCTTACTGACTAAAAACCACCCCGTTCCTTCTCTTGCACGTCGAGCCGGAGCCCCGGTAACCCGTTAGGATTTCCGTGACAGGTCTCCAAGAAGATCTATCGACAAAAAATACTCCAGGCTTGAGGCATAGATGTTACTTGTCAGACAATGAAATACCGCAAAACGGAATACATATGTGAGATGTGCAAGAGGCATGTCTAGAAGCTCTAGATAATGAAAAATAATGTCAGATATGAAAAAAATACTCATTATTTTAGCTTAGAACCTACCTCTACATAAGATGACATATGTGCCTATATAGTTTATCCCTCTGATTAAATTTCTTTCGATTTCGACTTTATCTTATAGGTTACTTTAATTGGTTTAACTCGTCGAGTACCGGTTTTGCAGACACAATTATAGAACAATAGGTTGCGGTCACCGGTGACCGCTTGGTATTTGACAGTTTAACTCGCAGTAACGCCCCATTTATGTGGCGTGTTATTCAAACCTAGTGAGATCTCTGATTGTAAATTAAGATGTTTATCTGTACCATGACCAATTTCTTATAATGAAAAGATTTATTTATTATTTACTAGCTGGCCCGGCAAACTTCGTACCGCCTATAAATGTTTTTTCTCACCTTATAAACCTTCCCTGGACTTCCACGATCATTTTAAGACCAAAATTAGCCAAATCGGTTCAGCTATTCTCGAGTTTTAGTGAGACTAACGAACAGCAATTCATTTTTATTTATATAGATTTATTTATTTATTTATCCGTTACTCTGCGTTGCGTCTTTGCAGCGGCGTTTTCCATATATTTTTTATGACATGCCCCATTACACCGTAGCGTCTCGTCGCGTGAGACGTTTCAACAGATAAACAGGTAAACAACGGCGAACCTAACCTCTTATCAGATAGATTTTAAAATTGTTCATTTTTTATCAGCCAAGTCACTCACTAACGAAAGAATTTTATTAGCTTTTATCAACGACAAAAACCTAAAAAAAACCTATTATACGGGAAAAAGTGATGCATCTACGATTTGTATTCTAGCTGAAGTGTATGGCAATGGGCAGACAACATTGTTCAAAGAACTGGTGGCCTATGGGCCAGGAATTTGGTCGATCTAAAGACAACAAGGCAGATCTTTTGGGACCACTGGATATTACTAGATTACAGTTGGTATCAATGTTACGCAAATGTTCTCATATAAGTTAACGTTGACTGAATTAATGTTAACGTTTTTTTTGTAGAGGTATAAATGAAAATACTTACTTACCTTATTGAAGTCGAAACTATCAAATTTCGGTATATCGAGATTTGAACACGATTGTTCTTTTGTTACTAACTTCCCTATACACACACATACTAGCCCATAAAGGTTAATAATTAAAAATATAGTAAATTTCCACATTGTGCACTGTGACATCATTACTTACCAGTGCACCACAATTGAATAAACAGTTATGTTACAAATAAGCTAATCTGTTGTATTTTATCATTGATAATCCATTGTGCCTTTTTTAAGGATTAAAAATAAGTCTGATTAATGGTTATACCTTATAAATCTTATAAATAGTATGAGAAATATTTTATTGGATTACAATTTAATCCATATTAAAGGCGTCACAGTTATATTGTCAAGGGAGCTTGATCATGACTACTGGAATATGAAATAGGAATATTATGGAATATACATAGATGATTTATGATTTTCAGTTATTATGGTTTGGTACGAAAATAACAAAAAGAGCATCGTAAACATCAAATAACAATTTAATTTTCATTTGCTAAATGTGGAGTAAAATATAGTTTAACTGATTATATATATTACAGGTCACATTTACGTTATTCCTATCATAACTCTTGTAACTCCAAATGTAGTATACTGACCTACTTAACTAATCTTTTAGCAAATAACTCCTGTACCAACCTGTAGGTTGGTTGGTTGGCAACGTTGGTGAACCTACAGGTTCACCTTTGAAGTTGCAGCCAACATCCGTAAAGCCGTCTTAGCTCAAGAACGAAATTATATAAATAGGAATTCTTGTTCTGTAAGGGATTTCAGATTAGTCACAATATGTTATAAATGTCACCAGTATGGACATACATTAAATCATATAGAGACCTCTCATCATATGGACACTGCGGAGAAAAAGGCCATTTACATCTTCTTGTACGAAAAAAGGAGAAACCCCTAACGGCGTATCATACTCGGTTTAATAAGCCCAACAATAATAGGACGGGGGACGCTGAGTGTCCAGGAAGGAATAAATCTCAGCACAGGTATATCAACTTGATTGATTACGAGGGCGCTTACGGCATAATGCGTCATGTTAGGTATCGAGTTGATTGGCCTTCTTATTGTACGTGTGATACTACGTATTATTTTTGGTTAATCATCACTTTGTTGCTATTTTTGTTCGATTAGATGGATCACCTGATGGTAAACGATCAGCACTGCCCATAGAAGCCCGCAACACCAGAAAAGTCACAGGTGCGTTGCCGGCCTTTTAAAAAATAATTCGCACTTAATCCAAGAAGCCAGTATTTGTGCTGTACAGTGATTGGCGCATGGACCGACACATTAATTTCCGGAATTTCGGAGCTAATTTTAACTGACATTTATGATTTTTTTTTATGGGGGGAAAATCATCGAATGACTTCTCTCGCCTGGGTGAGGCGGGAGGGAGTGTCAGACTCTCACTGATTAAAAATTACCCCGATACTACTCCTGCACTTCGAGCCGGAGCCCCGGTAACCCGTTAAGTTCTCCGCGGCTATATTTATGATACTTGATGTAAAAAGCCTGATTACAAAATTAATCTTGTTACATACACAAAGCAGCTTGTTTCATATAAAAAGCTGAAAATAAATGTTTTAATTAAATTACATTAGTATCTAAGTACAACAGGTGCGCGTGTACAATTTCATAAACAAACGTAAGCAAAAATAATTATTATATACGACAGTAAAATTATTTGCTAACTTCAAGTAACTCCTCGAATTATTCGTTTGTTAAGGTGTGTACATAATTATGTAAGGGAAATTATAAGTCTAACCTCAAAATTATAAATTAAACACGTGATTAAACTTCTAATTTTTATCAATTATTTCCTTTTTCATTAAGAATTTTCATTTTGAGGTAAACCTGAAGTCCTAGTGAATTCTAATGGACTTTATTTCGAACTACAACTTGGCCTTAAATAAAAATACTCTGACTCGACACACACTTCTTGCATTGACCACAGCATCACTAACATGCTGTACTCGGCAGGTAAAACATGTGGATTACACCTATACTGGTCAGCTTAATAACATAAACTTTTCTTTAAACAAGCCTGCTCCATCACATTTTTTTATGTACAAGAGAAATTATTACAAAGAGCATATTGGAAAATTTTTAGAATGTCTCTCCAGCCTGAAATGGCAAGATATTATGATGAGATAGATCCTAACGTGGCTTTTGACACTACATGAAATTTTCTGCCTCTTATGTAGATTACATTTCCAATTGCAAAAAGACACCTAAATGAACTTAAGGCAAGATTACGATATCTTAAATAAAAAAAAAATATCATAAAAATAAATCTATGAAAAGTAAACTACTTTATAATAATTATGCTAAAATATTAAAAATGTGTATTAAATCATCAATAAAGCAAACTTCTGATAAATTTATTTTTAACCTAAAAATAAATGTAACGAAATTAATAAAAAATAAATCGAAATGTAAAAGAACACAATATATAGAAACAATTAAACAAAATGGCAATTTGATCGCGATATCTGAAGAAATTGCAGAAGCTTTCAATAATCACTTCATTGACACGAAAAATATAGATAAAAGAAAACACTAACAGTGAAAGTAAAAGTTTATATCTCGGACCTTACGCCCTATGAAATAAATAAAATAATTGCAACACTGAACAATTCTAATGCAGTGGGATATGATAAGATAATAACATTTCCACTCACATAATAAAGTCATGTGCCACGTGCGATCCATTGGCCCCTATTATTTCTAATATTATTAATTTAAGTATCTATGAAGAAAAATACACGAACAAAATAAAGTTCTCAGTTGTAAAACCATTGTATATAATGAAAATAAAAACGACATAAACAATTATCGTCCAGTGACCTTAATACCTATAATTGCAAAGATATACGAAAAAGCAATGTATAATCGTATTATCCCTTATTATATCTTGATTTATATTATATAAATACAATATAATAATTTATTTAGATATAAATGAGATAATATATTATTGTTTTCCAAAAAAAATTGCATAGCAGCAGCACAGTAGTAGCACGGAGTCTGGAATTGTGCCCGGTATATGGCAATAGGCTCACCCCTATTACATGGGACTCATAACATAAGTAGTGAAAAGTGGGTGTTACATTTTACAGTGGCATAATGTACACCTCTGCCTACCCCTTCGGGGATAAATGGCGTGATGTTATGTATGTACAATATAATAAGTACCTAACAAAATAGTTTTTAAAGAGGAAAATCGACCACACTGTTTTTCAATGATTAAAATGTGTTACTGAAAACGTAGACAGGAACTTAACTTCCAAACATTTATAGTTCAATTTTTTATTTTGATTCGGAGTGATTATTGGAAATTGTAACTTAATTTGTCTTGTTTTAATTTGGAATCATTAGCAAAGGTTGTGATTTGATTGTTTTATTCTAACTTAAAATCATAGTTGGAGTATATTTGCATGCCGAATTTGTAGGCGGGATATGATGAACTATTGTTATGCTATAAAATCTGTAAACCACCATATTTCATTCCTTTGTTATGGGTTTGTGGCACCGACTTCTAACCTATCAATGGGTATGTAAGCTATATAGCTACATATGTACATATGTACGTATGACCAATAGTCGTTACTTTTTGCTTTTATTAGTTCTGAAGATGTTTTTTTTAAACGCAGTTGTTTATTTATAATTTATACTTTATTGTTTAGTACGTATATATACTCCCTCTGCCTCGCTGGCCAAGTGGTCGCAAGTGCGACTGCTGGGCAAGGAGTCTCGGGTTCGATTTCCGGGTCAGGCAAAGTATTACTAGGTTTAAAGAAATACATTTCATTAGAAGCGTAGTGTCTGGAATTGTGTCCGGTATATGGCAATAGGCTCACTTCCTATTCATGGGAGTCATAACATAAATAGTGAAAAGTGGGTGTTACATTGTACAGTGGCATTAAGCGCCGTGATGTGCACCTCTGCCTACCCCTTCGGGGATAAAAAGGGGTGTGATTATGATGTGATATATTACGGAAAGTTGCTCTGTGAGGGAATCGAATCGTTGTGAGGCAGCTAGTTGCCCAGTACCGCGCCGAAGAATGCAACTCCGGCAACCTAGGAGTAAACACATAAAGTTTGTACTTTTAAGATATTATGTCCACTTTTCCTAAAACGTGTGAAAGAAGATTTTTATTTTTTAAATAATTGATTTTGTCAGTTAATTAGTTCGGTCAGTCTAAGGCATATGACAAGGACAAATAATAGGACATATTCATTCAATCCCCAATTTATTGGAATGTAAACAAGTATACTTTCGTTCTACTATCGTAAACTTTATAATGATAATTATTAATAACACATAGACAAAAATATATTATTTTATAAAAAGTAAATTTGGTATTTACAACAATAATTGAAATATGGCGCATACACAGAGCACAACAATACTGCTTTTGAATAAAAATGCTGAACTGAAATTGGGTTCTTGACAGTTATCATTTTGTTCAACTGTTCTGAAATACGGTTCATGAAGCTCTTGTCTTTGCTGTATCACACCTGCGATGGCTGTCTCTCCAGCAGGCGACATAGTCCTTCCACGACTCAGCTGCCAAGCACGAACTAAAAGAAAATGGTAATAATAAAATGTTAGGTAGCCATTTGCTAGTTAACAAATACACAGGTATTTTTTTTTTGTTGTGAGCTATACTGCCCGTTATCAGGCACCCGGTAGTCCTATCCTACTGTCTACTTATCTTGTAAAAGTAGCCTAAGTTACTTCTTAGTACATCAGCTACCTGCTGATAAACAAAATCGGTTCGGTCATTTGAGATAAAAACCAAAAAAAACACACATATTGATAAACATCGTAAAAAATGTTTTGGTGTAAGTATCGCATGACCATTTTATTTGTTTAGTATAAAGTGGTTATGTCGATATTACAAACAGACACTCCAATTTTATTAATTTGCATTGTTAGACGACGATAATCAACAAACGTCACTAGTTTTATATAAGTTATCGGCAGCACTAGCTGTCATGTTGACGCTCTCATCTGTCAAAGTTGACAGATTAGTAAATGATCGTAGTGTGATGTTTAACATCTTGTAGCTTTTTTCGATAAATGGAACATCGAACACAAAACTAATTTTTCAAATGATTTCAAAAGTAGTTTCT